CTTATCGATATCTGAAGTTTGCTCAAAAGCAGCATCTATCATAATACTTAGACATTCATATGATTGCTGACAAAAATGTTTATTCACACCTCGGTGTTTCTGTTTGTGTCATTTGTGGTAATTTCGGCTTACAGATACTTAACATTTAGCGCGATAATAATGGAGATAACTATTTCTATATTAAACTACAGTACAACTAATATCAAAAAATATTACTGAATAACAAGACTAGACAATGCATACATTTAAGGCAATAAATTATTAATCATCACATGAGTGGAACACATTACAAAATATTTTGAATTTAAACTCCTTGCCTTCTCTGAATGTGTTTAAAATTCTCTTAAACTCTGAACTTAAAGAACAGGTTCATTGTTTCGTATAAATAAATTTTATTATAGGCCTATGTATAGTTTGAGAATTTGTCTGTGTTTTAGTCTGTGTTCATATATTAATCATTTCTGTATGTATGTATATGAAACTTTTGTCTTATTTTTCTTATCTGCTACCATCTTGGCCAGGACTTCCTGGAAGAAATATTGTATCTCAATGGAACCTTCCTGGTAAAACAAAGGATAAATAAAATAAAATTAAATAAATTAACTGAGGATAACAATGGTTTAAACAGGACAATCTCCCCCTTATCTTAACTAGCTGATATAGGTCTAACTGTTCATCAGTAAATATGGTTGATTACCCGTCTTAATGGAGTTAATTTCTTCTTATTCAGATTCATCACATTGTTAGTGAGAGGCGTCCTTTGTATCTCAGGCATTTTTGTTGTATAGTTGGACAGAGAGAGAGAGAGAGAGAGAGAGAATTACAAACGTGTCTAGAAACAATTCGTCGGTACTTATGAAACAGTCGAAATCTGTAAGATACTACTGTAAATAGCCTACTAGGGGTGTAAATCATAGCTTTCCTGGCGATACAATATCGATTCCTTAAGCCAACGATTTGATTTTGTTTGATACCTCAGAAATTCCCACGATACGATACGATACGATTCGATTCAGTTCGATACTGGGGTTAATGGTCGAAATGATGAAATTTCACACAATCCTTTACGTTTCAATTAATTGAAAAAAGGCAAATATAATTAGCATTTTATCATATTTTATTGGGAACTGTAAACAAAATCTAGTGTAGTCAAGTATGTCCCATAAAACAAAGCAAAATAAAGTGCAATAAGGTAAAAATAATAATAAAAAAAAAAAACATTGCATGGAGAGACATGTAGAATGAGGAGGATTAGCATGACTGACTTCTGCGGTGAAACAAGTATGTCAGTAATCTTCTTTGAGAGGTTTTTTTAAGAAAAATGAAATGGTCATCGTGTTCAGGAGATTGTGTGTTCTGAGCGTAGCGTCCTATATGTTAACTGCCGTACTAAACACACGCTCTGAAGGTAGGCTAAGTCATAATGATCTACCTACTATAAAAATGCAAATCATATATTTATGTATAAAAATATTGAGTATTCTTTATTATTATTAGGCCTATTATACACTTCGAATATGACATGGTGAAGAAAAAAAAACCCTCCTTCCATTCCGTATGGAAGTGGTAGACTTTTGGCTTCTTACTTGGTCCATGCAGCTCCCCCATTCATTTTTATACCCTTCCTTAAGTTTAGTAGAAATAAATTGGAGGCTAACTAGGCGACTCGGTAGCTTTCTAGAGTTTTGCAGCAGCTGGCGTGGTTGAACGCGTCATCCATCCTCTATTTTTTATGCCATGCGATCTACCCACACTTCCTTTGCGATCGACCAGTAGATCGCGATCGACGTATTGGGCACCCCTGGTGTAGATCATGAATACGTCGGAGTGGATCATGAAAACAATATTGGAACCGGCGAGAAAAGAAAAACGCTTGCATCGACATTTACGTCACGTTGATGCAAATCGATGCATTTTTACACCTCTAGTAAATACACAACATTTTGCCGTCCCAGAAACAGTGAATGAATTTCCTGTGTGCAACCACAGCGCTGGGACTGGAAGCTGTCCAGTTCAGCAACGTCCTACCAATCACCATAGAGCCGTGCAATTCAGACCAAAACGCAGCCACAGGGCGGCGCCACTGCATCGTCTAACCCAAGACGTATCAAAATGCACATAAAGTGAGTGTAAATATATCTCATGCGCGCCGTTAATTATATCCCAAAAATAATTTATTACGGCAGCAAGCGAATAATTATGGAAGCCGAGAAACGCCATGAACTATTATTATGTAATTTCCTTGTAATAACGGAATCATTTTCTCGAAATCTCGAAAAAGCAAATGATTGGAGAAGCTCTTCAGAACAAGAACAAAATATCATAATGGTGCTGGCAAATAATGTCATCAGACTCATAATGTACAGAGTGTTAATATACCCATTATTGAACAGATTGAAGCAGAGAGGGCTATGTTCAGTTCTGCTTGAGAGGAACACAGAGTATGTGAAAGGTGTGCCACGTGCATATGTACAACTGAAAATCACTTTACAGCTCTCCATAAGTTGATGATGTCATTTCTTCCTCCAGCAATGTTTTACTGTGGGAACCAAAAACACAACAATGCTGTATCACTGGAATTTATGGAATATATCTTTCTGACAGCTTGGCTAACTGTTTTGCATCGGGTGGCTAACACGATGATCACACACAACTACATCTGTCTATTTTGACTAACAAGATAAAAGCAACTCAAAATTACGCCAAATAATGACAATTGTATGAAACCATTCGCATATATGAACTAAACATTTGGAAATTTGTGTGAAGCGATGAGAAACGAGAACAGACTCATTCAGAATCTTGGAGCTCAGGAGCAGACATACTGACAAGATATATAAGCATTTTGACTCTCATGGTTAAAATGATGCTTGTTGTACTTTTCATTTTTGTGGCGCTGACAAATTCTTTAGTGAATTGTTTTGGGCCCGTACAGTCTTTGGCAGCTAAACCATTGTGTTTTGCTGTATGCATAAATTATTTTGAGAAATGCTCTTTTTGTCTTGAGAAGTTAGGTATGTAGGTATGAAAACTCCAGCATCTCTTGTGGGCTGAGTCTTCTCCCTGAGCTATCAGCCATGCCATGACTTCTCAAAGCCTGGACATACTTCTCCGCACGTGGGCTGTGTTTGGGCATCCGCATGTGTAATCCAGACACTGAACCGGATGACACAAAAGAGGATCGGAGACTGGTGAAGGAAATAAATACGACGTGACAGAAAAGGCTGGTGAGCAGGGCTCAGACTGTGTCACTGGTGGGACTTGATGCAGGATGTCAGCAGAATCATCATCACTCTGACTGAGATCCTCGAGTAGGATCTTGCTGCACACATGGCTGGAATGAAAGGGGTTCCCTGGGGTTGCGTTAGTGGGGCATAGTAGTTTTCGTAAGTAATTGGAATATGGCCCCTTCCATCTTTTAAATCTCTTTCTTTGTCCTGAAAGGCCTCGCGTCGTATTCCTACGGCATCCTGCACCCGGCTGACCCCTGCTGGTTGCCACTGGGATGGAAGCAGATCCAGTGGCGGCAGACATGGTCATGGAGCTGGCTGCCGGTGGCCCAGTGCGGCATTTCCTCTGACGGCCTCCCTTACTGGTATTGGTTGTTCCTTTGGCATTACCAAGACAGGGCACGGCGCATTTAATTAAAGTGAATCCCTATGTAAGCGTACAACAAAACTATATTATGTATAGAATAAGAATCAAATGAGGAATAAAAATAATTGAATGACAGCAAAATTATACAAAATCAAAAAATCAAATGCAAAAATACAAAATATAAATTAAAAAATTGTTTTTCAATTGATGGCCATTAGTGACAAACAGATATCACACTTCGCAGTCAGAATTGCACATTGAGAAAAATACTGCTGTCTCACTGGACAGAAAACAAATGCTTGGGAGACTTATGCGCTGATCTTGGATTGGGCCATCTGTGTTTCAGGAGGGGAACTTGACCTATAAAAACACACTAGTCAGTGCACAGATTGCCTGATATCCAGAACATTGTTTGCAATAGTGAAAAACAACACTGGAAAGGTTCATGTGCACCAAATATAGCAGCCCACTCAATCCAAATGCTGGCATCAACAACTGACTATTAAATCATTTATATATCTTAAACTTTTCATAAACTGCATTATTTCTTCACTCTCAAGGTACCTAAACTAAGATTTTTGCTTTTTGTGATTTACAATATGGGGACATATTCAGCTGTTATCTTACCATTTGATGATGGTTTTCTGTGAAACCACCAACACGCCTTCCAATGAGGAAGCAGAGTCTGGGGACTTGGGGGTGGACTCCCCTATCTCTGGGGAGTCCTTATATACTTTTTAGCAGCATTGAATGTAACAGCACAGATTTAAAAAAAATTGCAGTGATGTTGTTAAAAATTGTCAGCACTATAAACAGTCAGGTTGACATGTGAATACTTGTGGAAGTGTGGTGAGTTTATGGAATATGGAATAGATTAGTGATGCTTTATCCATCCTCATGGGGAAATTCTCTTTTCGCCTACTCCATCTGACTCAGACACAAAGACAGGTAAGAGCAAGGTTAATTAAGGGTCACAGTGTTGGGTCACCCAGCATGCAGTGGCCCTGGAGCGATTGGGGCCCAACAATGGCATCATTCTGTAGCCCTATGATTCCAATCAGCAACCTTCCAATCACAGGCACAAAATCCTTACACAACGAGCCACACTGCCGTGTTTGTTGTTTCTTGTTGTTTCCTGTAAGGCTGGGAGTTTATTTCCTGTGGTGAGATCTGCTGTTCTCAACATTCTTTGGAGAGCCTTCTGGTCATGGGTAAAGAAAATGCTGTAGCACACAGTAATACGCTCTCTGTTGTACACTCCTAAGTTACTTCTAACAACGATTTTTCAGAAAGAAATTTCTAATGAAAAACAAAAAGGTCTGATGGTAACTGCGGGTTCTTCAGTACATAGTTATAACACGTGCTGGTAAAACCATTTAAAACGTCAGTGTAGACGTCATAGGGCTTTCTTCCATGCGTCCCGCCTTCGTCATGAGATGACGGAAGGACGTGATGACGTAGGACGTGGTGACGGCACGTCCCTTTGTTGGCTCTGCGGTGACCGCTGTTTGTGTTGTTGTGTCTGTCTTGGGGGCTCTGCGCTAGCTGTCTGTTCTGTGCTTCGTTAGCTGCGTGTTCCGCGTTGGCGACCCATAGAAATCCTCCCGGTGATGGACTCCGACGAGGGTTACAACTACGAGTTTGACGACGACGACGAGGAGGAAGGCAGCGAAGAGAGTGCGGAGGGAGAACCCGAAGACGACTTGGAAGCTGAAGTCGATCCCGTTGTAGCTGGTGGTGACCGAGACGACTGCGGGGAGACCGGGGGGAGCGGTCTCAGCTCTGGTCAGGATGAGGAGGACTATCCGTTTGAAGTGTTAACCGCTGAACAGATACTACAGCATATGGTGGAATGTATCAGGGAGGTCAACGAGGTCATCCAGGTGAGGTGCCTTCGGGCAAGCTGGCTACAGGAAAGCCCGGGGATGCTGGGGAGTCAGTAGGCCACATTTTATGTTGTATTAAAAGCAGGAGGAATCGGAGCTGAAGCTTGATTAACGGTTAGCTGTCTGCACCCCATCTCTGTTTAATATTGAGAGATGTCACACGAAAATAACGCTCTGCCAGGTCCGAAGAGTTCTCCCAAGTCTCCTACCTGTAGAGTAGCTTTTTGGCATTGGTATGAGTAGCTTTTTAATCGGGTCTCTGTAATAGTTAATGTACCTGACTTACCTTAGACGTATCCACTACTTAACCAACGAACCATTTTCTAATACCTTAAAATAACTGCTCAAATCAACTTAATGCTTTTAACATGGCAACTTAAATTTCTGTTTTAGCGTCCGGTAATTACATGACTATCATGGCCAAGATTTGTTTGCTTATATTCACTTTTCCTTTTTTGCATTATAATAATTGTTTTATTTTCATTGGCCTGTTGCCAGCAGCTGTGGCCAAGAGTGAAACTTCATGTATTTTGAATCTTTAGACGGCATTTCAAAAATGATGTATTTTCACGTTTAACATTAAAGGAGGAATTTCTTATAAAACAAAGAAACCAACTAGATGAAGATCATCCATGTATTTTTTTTAAAAGTGTGAAACTATGTTGCAAGTCTAACTATATGATATTTGCACACCCTTTTCAGCACTGTAATTATGTGCCAGCAAGTACATTCAGTCCAAGCAGAGCAGTTTTGAAATAAGATGAAATGTTGTTCCAGTTGGGTCCTGTAGTGTCTTACCTCACACTAAGTAGTTAAGTGGTCATCCGGACTGTACCCCTTCCTTGTGCCTCACATAGATCCAGCTACCCTTGCAACAATGACTCTGCTTAGAATAAGATGTTGAAGCATAGATGGATAAAATACTCATACTCTTTTAAGGAATTACTCTTTACAAAGTCTGTGTACTGCATGGAGCCATGTCAAGAGTTGGGTCTGCCTAGGTAATCTTCATCGTGGTTGTGTGTGGTCACCATTTAATCTATATGTGCCAGGACTTGTGCTTTACTGAGCTGTTGATGCTGGCAACTTCTGGCTAACTCAAATGATATGCATAGTAAAGTTGTAGTTTATTGCAGCTTTGGAATATGAAAATCATGTTGCATATTGAGTAAATGCACTTAACTCTCTGGTTAATTGGGACAGTTGCAACAAATGAAATGAATGTTAACATTTTAATCTAAAACTTAAAAATATCTTCTTTCACATGCCGTAAGATGTCTCCTGTCTAAATGACTTGATCATGAGACACAGAAGTGAATTGGTGGCTCTCATTGTACTTGGATTTCTCTGATATTTACTCATGGCCACCCGATAAAAACTAAATGTGCATCCAGTATAATCCTGCTTTCCTTGGGATGGAGTCGCTAACACTAAACCTCCTGCTTATCCTAAATAATAATTATGTATATATTTTTTTACAGAATGATTAGTACAATTTCATGGAACATCCTTTGATCTAGGTGTCATCGTGGTGACATCGTGATGAGCGTGTGCAGAGAGTTCATCTCTCTGAAGTGTTGTGGGATTGGTCTGTGGTACTTAGAAATTTCTTCTTAGTTCTGTTGCTTATCTGTGTTTATGAGAGAAAGGATTTGATATAAACAGTTAACACTGGAATGGCTTAAATTTCAAACCTGCCTCAGGTTTGAAATTCGTGGTTATGGCGTTGAAAGAGGACAAGAGTCACCTTATGACTTTGTGACTCCTTAATGGTATGAGACTGTTAGGGTGGGCAGGTGATTAGCAGAAATCTGAGGAAAACAAGCACCACCTGTGATTTAAGCAGGCAGCATGTTGATCTGCAGGTTAGGAGTCTGTGCTCATTGAAATTCTATGACTGTCATACTGATGTCACTCTTGGTTCTTGAGCAAGGCACTTAACCCCAGCTGCTCTAGGGACACCCTGACCACGCTCTCTGATCTTCAATTGTAGGTCCCTTTGGACAAAGTACTCCGCCAGATATATTTAAATACAATTTCTATGGCTGTGAAAATGTACCATGATGTATCCACCTGGTAATGGTGATTTCAGTTGCATCGATTTTGGAGTGTTATAATCAATTATTAACCAATCACAGTTTTTTTAAATAAAGTGCAAGCACACCCAATTGCAAAATTTACCAGATAAAGTGATGAGTTATGTTTTCCCAAAATAGCTGTAGATCCCCAATCAGCTTCCACCGCACATGTCCTCTCTAGACTGAGGATTGAGATCTGTGTTTTGGTGATGTTACACCCTTAGGCAAATGTTTAGCCTAACGGCTGATGCCAGTGGTAACTCTTCGGTGGCTTATAATAGCGCAGTGAGTGGGAAATTATTTGATGCTCTTCACACCAAATTAGATGTTTGGATATTTGGATTCCGAATGGTGATACACTGGACTAAAAGGTAGCCATATTAAAAACATTTCAAGTAGAAATCAGTTACTTGGGTAAGATGATATGGCTAATCACATGAAACAGCGACATGATGTGTGACACAAGCTAGTGGGAATGCAGAAGCATGTTATTCAAGTTCTGTCAGAATCACTTTCTGTGTTTTGGTCTGCACCATTTTAATCTTAGTTGTTCAAACACACAGAAGAGGAATACGCCCCCATCCCTTTTATCTGAATGCTACCTTTAGCATGGGAGTGAATATAGGAGTTGAATTGGCTGTAGGTGTGGAAGTGTTTGAAGACTTTGTTCCATGTTATGGAGCCAAGGGGATAGCATGACACAATATGGATGTCGTGACTAAACCTAAAATTACTCAGACCCTACGTTTTTTTTTTTTTGGGATGTTAATGCCTCCATTCTGTGAAGGGTGTAGCGTTTCGGGACAATTATAAATGTCAGCTCACTTGGGAGGCTGCCACCGCTTAGCAGGCCTCCCCCAGACTTTGGCAGCATTAAGACATCAGCTAAGGGGGTGTAATTCCAGCCTCTCCACTTGCACAGGACAGTTACTTAAAAGCCAATCCTTTCAGCTGGCACTGGGTTGGTTTGCAGTGTTTTCAATAGCTGCGTCACTGGAACAAACTGAGCTGGGGGAGATGTGAAAATCATGCCCAGCTGGCTAAAAAAGCTTTAGGCTACCAACTTCTGACTGTGATGGTGTTGTGTTCTGCTATATAGAATCTTTTGTAAATAATGGAGACTGAACAGACTTTTTAGTTCATTGGTCTGAACTTTAACAATAATTGTTTTTCTAAATGCAAGTTGGTATTGAAGGTTAGGTTTTGTCCACCTATTGGCTGCTGCAGACAGATCTGACCCCGTGTGCCACCCCTTTGAGGACACTTGTAGCATGTTAGAGCTGGGCAGTCCCAGTACTGTAGGCCAAAGCACTATCTAACTGCATACTGCCGCATGCAGGACAGGGTGCGGCTTGCTACCAGCGTGTGGTGATTGTGATAAATGTGCCTGTGATAAACAGCACTTGGGAATATCGCTACAGGTTCTCTGTGTAAATTCTGACGTGTGAGTCTTGAAGACACTTACTGCCAGGTGCCAGATCCTGACGTCTGCTCCAGAAAGCCCAGAGAGAGGGTCGATTTAGCACTCCCTCCACGGCAGCTTCCTGAATTACTTCTGTAATGTTCATATGATTAAATGTCTTTAGCTCTCTCTGTTACTTATTTTGCTGTGTGTGTGCGTTTATAATGGGTGTTCAATGTATTCTTTCCTTAGACGTTATAGTGCTTCATACTCCATTATTACGTCAGCTGTGCAGTTTCTCATCTTAATTAATTGCACATTCAACTTGCTGAAGGACGCCCAAGTTTGTCTGTCTGTAAAATTTTTCATCCCTGCTGTTGGTTACAAAAAATTGCAGTGAAATTAAAGTACTTCTGCTACTGTATTTGAAGATCCATCCATCCGTTTTCTGAAACTGCTTGCCCTGTTCAGGGTCATGGGGGGTTTGGAGTCTATCCCTGAGGCTACAGGCACCAGGCAGGGAAGAACCCAAGATGGGGCACCAAACGATCGCAGGGCACACTCACACACCATTCACTCCCACATGCATATGCCTCAGTAGTTTTTGGACTGTGGGGGGAAACTGGAATACCCAGAGGAAATCCCACAATGACACGGGGAGAACATGCAATCTCCACACACATGGAAACCTGGCGGAGACTCAAACCCAAGTTCCAGAGGTGGGAGGCAACAGCACTAACCACTGCACCACCGCACCACCCCTATTTGAAGATCATAAACTCATTTCAGTTTTTGTTCCAAATGTAAACATATTTAAAAATATATGTGCTCTTTTTCCACCTGATTATTGTGGTTGAAAGCCTCATATTATATCATTGAGTTCGGACTTGCAAATGTGTGTCTGTGTTTTCTAGAATCCCGCAACAATAACGAGGATACTCCTTAGCCACTTCAACTGGGACAAAGAGAAGCTGATGGAAAGGCAAGTTGTCACCATATGGCTTCTTTTGTTTGTATGTTTTCAAGAAGAACTAAATCTGAGGGCTCAGTCACTTATTATAAATCTATGCTAAACTCGTCTCCTCCTGTCATCCTTTTTTGAACAGAATTATTTATTCATGTCTTGCTCAAAATCTTGTAGTACAGTCACCACATGTCACAAATGTCAGCCCTTTTCACAAATTCTGGTTGATGTGAATATTTGCTAATTGATAATGAAAGTGTTTTTAAAGGTTCTTTTGGGAAGACCAAATAACTTTTTTGTGAAAATTTTGCAGACTTTAGATCAGACTTAAGCAGCCATCCACTAACTTAGGAAATGGATAAATTCAGTGGTAAAATGTGTACAAAAGCCTGTGTTACAAGTGAAGGTAAAATACTTGAAATAAGATGGTTATTGCAAAAAGGTTGTTAAAGCAGTCATGTCAATCAGTTAAAGTCCTTGGATTTGTAGAAAATACAAAAAAAATGTTTTTGTCTTTGCTTATAGCTGGGCATTTTATATCACATCTCAATATTATATTCTGCTGCCTGTTGACCCATAGTACTATTGAGTCCTGATATGCTTCAATGCTTACTTTAAAGTCTTGTGCTAGTCATTCTGTGTGACAGCTCTAAGGCCCCATGGTGAAATTACTCTGCTGACCCTGCGATTTGAACATACAACCTGTTTCTCCTAACCTGTTGGCCAACCAGGCAGCTTGAGAGTTGTTAGTATATTACATTGAAAAACTATTGACCTATTAATCAGTTTACCAAATAAAAGTTCTATCTTTAAAGAAGATTAATATTACTGGTGACTATCGTGTCAAAATCAGTTTGTCATACACGAAGATGTGCATAGTGGGAGAAGGGAATATGATCCAGGATGGTTGAACAACAGCAAATCATGATGCTTAATTAACCAGAGAATTTTAGGTCGAATAATAAGCAAAGATGTCTAGGGAGGTCCAAGTTGGTAAACATGAAATCAAGGCACAACAGATGAGGAGGACAATAACGTAAGATGTTACAGATGGGATTTACTGCTTAGCTCCCAAAGTCATCTGTGGTCAGGATCCATTCTTCAAGACTAAAATTAAAAACCTTTAAATTGTACATAGTTCATCGGTAGCAGTATGTAGCGGCTTTTTTGTCACTGAAAATCCTTTGAATGATGTAATAGTACAGCAATTATGATGTGACCAAAAGATGAGGTTTGAACTGAAACAAGAAAGTGAACTGTGGATTCACCTAAATTCTAGTTATTAATCATTTGCCGATTGTATTCTAAAGAATTTGATCACTTATTTGATTTTGTAATGATTTGAAATGGATACAGAACTCTGAATGGTGACTTCCTCTCTCTGCAGGTACTTTGATGGGAACCTGGACAATCTGTTCTCAGAATGTCATGTTATAAACCCCAGTAAGAAATCTCGGACACGCCTGGTGAACACAAGATCCTCGGCACAGGACATGCCTTGTCAGATCTGCTACCTGAACTATCCCAATTCAGTCAGTACCTCCTGCTGGACATCTTTGTTGCTTGTGTGCTCCAGCCATCCTTGGTTTTAGTGCGGCTGTCACACGCCTTTGCTTAAATAAGAATCATATTTGTAGTAACCCCAGAAGACAGAGTCCAGACTGGGTATCTCTAGATTCACAGTCTTGCTGCCATACCCTGCTCATTTCAATTTCTGTATATTGTGTTGTGATATGTTGAAGAAAGGTTCATCTGTTATATTTACTGTGGGACATTAGAGAGTGACTTTTCATACAAATCAGCAGACTGATCTACCAAATCGGTGCATGACTAGCCTAAAGGCTTGTTCATCATCAGAGTGAATGTTATCAGTACTCTTAGTAATCCCATGCAGTTTACTGGGGTCCTGAATTATTTTTATGTGAATAGTCTCATTGGTTTTCATGTCAGTACTTTGTTTATATTCCAAGATTTAAACAGGGCTGTACTACATACCAGCTAAAGAACTGAGAGTATGCTGTTCATTTAAGCCTACTCTTTTCTGCACTTGTGTGGATGCACACGTTTATGTAATGGTTCCTTTACAACATGGCACCTTTGAAAGCATGCATGTCCTGGTCATCTGTTGCTTCAGTTTTAATCACTTTGAATGGCCTTGTAGTGTAGTGCAGTGTAGGGCTGCCACTAACGACTATTTTTTGATCTGTTGACTGATTTTTGATCTGTTGACTGATTGATCTAAATGATTAATTTTCCTCCAGAAAATCAGCTTGACCATTAAGTTCTTCCAACTGGAGTTGGAATTTAAATCTCCCTGAAATTCGAATTCAATTCCAATTCTGTTCTCCATAGTTTTTTTTCCAATTCCAACTCCAGTTCCATTTCCTGATTTGGACTGGAATTGTTGAATGCATTCCGGAATGGCCCCAACCCTGATGGACATTATTTTTGCCTACAATTCAATAAGCAGACAGTTTGCCTAAAATAGTAATATGCACATTGAACCGCCCAAAAGTTAGTCATCTGTATAAATTTGGCGTATCCTTATGCTTGTTACATTTGGTTAGTGGAGCACGCCATTCGCTACTGTTTTGGTAAATCATGGAAGCATTGAAGTGGCGATGGGGAAAAAAAACAGCTCAGTAGCCATATGTCACACCCCGCTCCGTCCGCTCCTACTGTGTGCCACGCCCACCTCATTACCTCCTGTTTTACCCTGATTGTTCTCACCTGTCGCCTGTTCCGTTTACCTAGTCTCTTGTATTTAGTCCACGTCTTGAGTAGTTTTCCCCAGATCTGTCATCGTCAAAGTCCCATGTGTGAGTCTCCGTCTGCTTTGTACCCCAATAAACCCCGTTTTGTCCGTCAAAAAAAAAAAAAAAAAATCTGTCACGCTTCGCGGGGAGGGCGAGCAGGAAGCAGGCGAGCGAAGCCAGGCAGTCAGGGTAACGGGGTTTATTCGGAGGCAGACGTACAGGTACGGACACTACACATGACAATACAATGACCAGTCTGGGGTACATCGACTAAGACACGGACTAAATACACAAGACTAGGCAAACGAAACAGGAAACAGCTGGGCACAATCGGGAAAGCACACGTGGATAATGAGGGGGCGTGGCACACACTAGGAGCGGACGGAGCAGGGTGTGACACCATAACTTTAAAAAGAGGAAATAATGCAGTTAAACAAGGTAGAAGACGTTGGTGGTGTGGTGATTTTGCAGATTAAAGGCCGTCACGTTTTTTTTTTTTTGTAAATGTAGTTTTATTTTAGTTCACAAATTTTCTTTTTATTGTCTGTTTCAGTTATAGCTTACAATAACACTAGTTCCAACAAGCTCAACGCACAAAGAACACACACACGCTTGCACAGGCAGTCCACATAGAATAAGCTCAGATTCTAGCCTAAACATTTTCACCAACAATTCAGTGGAAATTCTACGTAAGGTAGCAGGTAGGCAACTTTCTGGCTTTAATAATTAGAAATTACAATTGTTTGCTTCAACTATTGTTCACCTTATAGTAAAAGGCCTCGAGGAAGTAAAGTACATATCAAATATTGCAACAACCAAGAAAAGACTTCAACATTTTCTCAAATTTCACACTCTTCAAAATGATCCCTTTTGCTTTAATGTCAGCATTACAGACTCTTGACTTTCTTTCAACCAGCTTCCTGATGTTGCCACCTGGAGTGCTTCTCCAACAGTCCTGGAGGGGTTTCCAAGGCTATGTACAGTGCCAGTCAAAAGCCTGGACACACCTGCTTTTCCTTCAGTTGTCTGTATTTTAGTTATGTTTTTCACCTTAAAGTAAAAGGCCTTGAGGCAATGAAGTAATACGCATCAATCACTGCAATGACCAAAAGAAGTGCTCAACATCTCTAAAGTTTGTCAAGTTTTGGACTCTTCAAAATATAGCCCCTCTGCATCAATGATCGCATTGCAGACTCTTGGCATTCACTCAACCAGCTTCCAGATGTCACCTAAGGGCTCCTTAGCGGTTGGTACTGGACAAGATTCTGTAAATAAATAGGAGAAAACTCACAAATGTAACACGTTTCACAAACAGACAGGAATCAATCCACAAATATGCAAAACACGTTTACACAACACAATTTTAAAAATACATCTTTGTGGATAGTTAAATATTTGTGGGTCACGGTACATATTTGCAGATTGTCTTCTGTGGCGGCACAAATAATAAAGTCCAATAAAAACTTCCGTACAAGTGCCACATCCCATGTGGTGGCGTGTAACCTTGCAATCTGTCATCCAAATGATGAAAAAGTGTTGCCATAAATAGTATTTTTGCGACACCATGAAATAAACCATAGAGGATAACATGAAACGATAGACGTTTTTTTATTTCGTCATCCGACACATATCGTCATATCACACAGCCCTAGACACTGTTGTAAAGAAACTTTCCCCGTGTCTGTTGGTTTTTGTTATGATGGCTCTGAGTTTTCTGCTAGAGGGTAGAGGCTGGAAGAGATGGTGTCCTGAAAAGTCCTTAGTAGCTATAAAATGGGTGTGTTATATTCTGTCTAGCAGGAATTTGCAATGTAGTTTTGAGCAGAAAGTTGAATGCTGATGTGTCTTTTTTTAAATTCACTTCATAATGCTGTCCTAAAAATCAGGGAGACTGAAGAAGTTGTGATGTTGTCTCCCTGATTTCTTTTCTCAAAAACACAGCACTTCTGTTCTTGACTGGTGTTGCCTGGATACTCTCAAATGAGTGATTGGTCGTAAGAGTGCAGCAACAACATAAAACCTTTTTTTTATTATTTTTGCCAAAAATGATGTTGAAGAAGAGGTGTGACTTGAAGACAAGCAAGCGGGATCGACCCTGGAGGCCATAAAAAGTATCAGGCCAACATTTTGAAGCGTGGGCAGCGAAGTGTTCCACATGGAGAAGTGTTTTGTTACTGGAGGCCCTTGGTGTTGGAGCGTTTGGGTGGATTGCCTGTTTGAAACCACCAACAGTTAGTGTCCCCCTTTTCTCACAGTATTTTACTGGCCTGGAGTGCGGACACAAGTTCTGCATGCAGTGTTGGAGCAATTACCTAACGACCAAAATCATCGAGGAGGGAATGGGCCAGGTATTTGCCTGTCTCTTCATTTTTTCCATATGTGTGCATAACTTTAGTAGAGTTAGGGTGAATCTTTTTGTGAAGAATCTGTGCACACTTAGTTCACTTTAAACCATTGTGCTATGTTTTTCAATAATCATTGCATGGTGAAAAAATCCTATTTCGTTTGCATCATAAATCGAACCATTATGTTGATTTACATTTGCCTGATACGTTTCTTAACAATTTCCCCCCTTTCAAAGACAATTTCCTGTCCTGCCCACAGCTGTGATATTTTGGTGGATGACAGCACTGTCATGTAAGTGCATCAGTTTTAGATTACTGTCACTGGGAGTTGATAATTCCTGCTAACTTTGCGGTAAACTCTTCAAGTCACCTAGGCTGTCTGTATTAGCGACACTAAATAAATTTGTACCCAGCTAATTGAATTTAACTTATGCCCAATATTCATACCCAATATACTGGTTTTTTTCCTTTCCGTAAGTTTTCCTATTATGTTAAATGTCAGACTAAATATGCCATTTTAAACTGCACATGGAATATCTTACCTGTTGCTAAAGTGCTATTTTAGAGTTGAGCACAGACTGCATATTCCACATATGGAGGGCGTTCATGTTACTTTTCTGATATCTGCTTTTTGCTTGGTACTGGTGCTGTGTTTAATCGGCTTGACCCACTTTGGTCTAATCACACACTCAAGCATAATGGCGTCTTGTATTTGGTAGACTTCTTTATTTCCTTGAAGTAGACTAATTCATGTAATTTTCTGTAAAATCCATGGCCATTTGATAATTCTGGACGTGTGTTGGGTTTCTAAGTCTTAGTTTTTGAATTATACCTGCAAAACTTAGAAAGTAGATATTGTCATTTTTATGATAGTTGAGAATTGTCTGTTATTTTCTGAGATACATGGCCGCTGTGTTTGTATGCTGCTCTCTGCTAATCTGGAGGATTTCTGCATTACATGCAGTTTTTTAATGGAGAGTTGCACTAGGCCAGTGGTCTCCAACTCCGGTCCTGGAGAGCTACCGTCCAGTAGGTTTTCTATCCTACCTTCTGATGAGCCACACTAGTTCTCAGGTAAATACCAGGGCCAGGTGTAGCTCATCAGAAGCCAAGTAGGATAGAAGACCTACTGGTTAGTAGCTCTCCAGGACCGGAGTTGGAGACCCCTGCACTAGGCTGTATGTAATCTTAAACTGCAGAAGTCATTTTTCACTGAGGTGCATCTTTTTTTTTTTATAGGCGTCTTATAACAGATCCAAAAGTGAAGTTGAAATACCAACATTTAATTACCAATAGTTTTGTGGAGGTAAGGTTACTGTTCAATCATTAATGTGAATGAAAATTGGTAATATGTGTTGTTAGGCTGAGTGATGTTAGACTTATGGTTTATAGCAATAGATTACTTTTTCTGAAGTGCTCCTTTAAAACAGTCATGCTATTTTAATTGCTCTGTGTAATACATCGAAATAGTTGAGATGACTTTTGAGTAGTACCTTGTTGAAGGGTACCCCTGTGGGGACCTTCAACAGTCTTTGTCATTGACTTCTAAGCTGCCACAAACACACCTTCTGCTGTAGTCCGTCATGGAGCTCTCCTCTGTTCTCCAGTGTAATCGGCTGTTAAAGTGGTGTCCCGCACCAGACTGCCACCATGTGGTCAAAGTGCAGTATCCCGATGCCAAACCAGTAAGGTGCAACTGTGGACGTCAGTTCTGGTAAGCGATTTTCCATCTTGATTTGTGGCCATCGTTAAATTATAGCTTTTGAGGGCATGTGGAGCTCAGGCCACATTGGAATCGCCGGTAAACTCACCTGGTACTGCAGGAAAGATGCTGGAATAACACCAGTCAACATCTTATACAGCTGATTTACCTTAACCTACACAGTCCTGGGTACAGCAATGGCTCGTTTACATCAGTGCATTTGCCAAACGACTCCCTTCCATTTACATAAGTACAGGTATCCGTCGACTTGCGTCCATATTTGGGACCAGGTCCGCTGGACACAAGTCAGTTTGGGCATGTCTCAGTAGTTATAGGAGTGAGGCAAGGCATTAACTACTGCACTATAATATTCACACAGTGCTCTATAGCAAATAATGATGTAAATATAAAATCACAACACTTTATAATGAGAGTTGGCGCTTAAATTTCACAAAAAAAATTGCACTACAAAAATCAAAAGATACGCGAAGGTAGCAAACGTTGGAAGCTGAGAAAGTAGACGGCACCTGAAGCTGCAGCGAAATATTTTATTGTACAGTAAGTTTCTTTTTGTGTAGTGAAATGGCACAGTACAGGTGCTGTATCTTTATTCTATCTGCTTACTGTATGCATACTAGGGATGGAACGGTTCACGAAAAAAATCCATCCCGTTTGGTTCGCTTATCTCTGTTCGGGACGTGTGTATCGTTCGGTTCAGCGCATGCTCAAAAAAGCTTTCGCCAATGATCTTATGAAGGGGGCCAGAGTGCAGCAGTCAGGTCAGTTGTGGGAATGGCAAGTGACAAATGCGGGATCATTTCGGATTTTGTACTAACTACGGTGACGGTGTTAAGAAAGTGCTGGATAAAACTGCGTCCATGTGCAGGCACCGTGCAACACGTGTTGCTTATGCTAGCGGCAACACGTCCAATATGTTGGCTCATCTACTCCCTGCTGCTTTTAAACAGCCTCTCAGTGAAAAGTCAAAAGCAGGGCAAAAGCCATAACTAAAGCGTTGGGATGTTTCGTAGCTAAAGATATGCAGCCTTATGCCGTTGTGAAGCATATGATTAAAGTACTCGAGCCGCGGTGTAATCTAACCTCCCGCCGACATTTCCGCAACACGGTAATTCCCAAGCTTTATCATGAGACATGACGAGGAATTATCAAAGAGTTGCTGTGGATGCAGATCCACTTGCATGGTGGAAATGCAACGAGCTTAAGTATCCTCACATTGCTAAGAGGGCACAACGGTACCTCGCTGTCCCACGTTTTCTCTACAGCAGGGGACATTGTCACTGCCAGTAGATCTCGTCTCTTGGTAGAGAATGTGGGCAAACTGATCTTCTTGCAAAAGAACATGAAAATAGAATGAACGGAGCAGTGTTGTGTTGAAACAGTGCAGTGTTTATTGGTTCGCTTTATGCTGCATGTTATATTAATGGTCTGCTAATTTGTTTTTTGTTTTATTTTTTAGACAACACAGTGTCACTTTAGATAAGAAACAGCTGTATTTCAAATACTGCACTTTAACTTCTTGTGAAAAAACATAAAAATCTTTCCATTAAAAACTGATAATCAAGGAATTTAAAATTTGTTATTTGTGTGTTGATTTTAAAGAAATGAATGTCTATTGCTGGTTGGTCTTATGCTTCACTTTATGGTGATGGCCTTTGCCTATATCGGTCACAAAAATAGTAAAGTCAGAGTTCTTTTGTTTGCACCAGTTTAGGGGTCAGAGCTTTAAGAGCCATTTTTCTCTTATTTTCTCAGACAACTTTTGTAAGAACCACAGCTATCCACAGTTTAAATAAGAAAACATATTCTTTTAGTTAAGATTTGACAGTGAATAACTATTTCTTCTGAGCAAGAATTTAAGGCAAACAATTAAAAAATTTTTTTGCCAAATAAATGAAAAGCATTTTGAAATCAGCAATGTCTCCCCATTTACTGTATAAAAATCGCTCCCAGCTTTAATCTAAGACTGTCAAAGTGACGCGCCTGATGCCAAACGGCCTCATTCTTTCAGTTTTTACAGGACTGCGTGACACGTCCTTGAGAATAACTGATATTTTATAATCCGTAAATGGTGGATTATCTACTGCTGATGTATGGTATTCTTGGAGTGTTGAGAAAATAGAAAAAAAAAGTGAACTGAACCGAACCTAAAACTGTGACCTGAAACCGTGACACGAACCGGAACGTGCATTTTGTGAACCGTTCCACCCCTAATGCATACTGTACTACAACTTAGATATGGACAGTGGGTCATTATACTACTGGCGGTGCTGCCCATTCTCTTGCATCTGTTATACTAAGCGATACACTGCTGACGTCCTACTGCGTCCGCTTTCGCGTGTATCTCAGTCAGTCTGTATTATTTACTATGGACCTCAGGGGTAAATGCGATCAGGTGATCCTCAGTAGGACATAAGCCGACAGATACCTGTACGTTATTGCCCATCTGTAAGGAGAGGTATGAGGTGGTGTGTGCATTTACTTGCATGAGAACGCTACTGAACTGTATATAGGTGATACTCTGTGTATGTGCCTTTCAACATGAATCTTTTGGCTTTTATTCCCTTATCGTAGCTTTAATTGTGGAGAGAATTGGCATGACCCTGTCAAGTGTAAGGTATGTAAAATGTGCTATGATTGGGTTACAGAATATTGCAGTTGGGTATGGCGCTAGCAATTTCCTATTGTAAGCAGTAAAAGCTGAGTCAGCTAAATGCTGCAGCTGTGGTGGACAGCTGACCATGATATTTTTATATTCCTGACTTTCGAGACACTGTCTTCACTTCAGCTTTGTTCTCAGAGAAGCATCAGTTTCTGTTTGAACAAAGATCCGCTACGCAGACAGCTGGCCCCTGAGACCTGCCTTGTTAAAGGAGGGCGCTGGACAGCTGACGGAACACTCTGAATTTCATGTTTCAACACATAAATTTACCTAGTTGGCTATTGCTTAACTCTTAGCCCTGTGGAATTATGCAGGTTTTAACCCTGTTTTAAATGTCCCTCTACATTAAGTTTGGTTTTGCGATTTGGTAGCCATGGAAAAGCATCTCAATCCTACCAAGCACTGTTACAAAAATATGCCACCTTTATTATAACATCAGCAATGGCAGCCATGCCTTGCACCTTGCTTATGTTTCTCTCTACTGCGCTTCAGCCATGGTGTCCTCCATTAGGAGCACAAATGTGCCGTTAGCTTACTCACCGCATTGGTCTACTGTTAGGCTGTTAATATTGGCGCTTTTCCACTGCCGCCAAGAACCGAGACATACCCGAGCTGTACCACATACTGCCGGCTTTCCGTTGCAAAGTACGCAGTTGTAACTGCACTGACATGACCCTGCTTACTAGTAGGGCCAAAAACATGACCAGACTGAGCTGACTGCATCACCACCATCTGACTTGTTGAAATGCAGGAAGAAAGGTATATTCTATATATCATTCAGTATTATTAGTATCGCATATTGCGATGTATTGATGCATTACCGATAATTCAGAATTTGAAAATTTCCAAACTCCTACTTTAAAAAGTACTACAGAACAGCTAAACAGAATGGATTCGTAATATAAACTTATGAATGCGAATGCTAATTCTGCTAGCGTCTGATGCTTGCATGACATGGCCATTCTCACAGGTGTGCTAGAACATTATGAAATTAGCACATAGTAAATCAGAATGTACACTGTGTTAACAGTATATAAGCATCACTTTGGTTTTAAGTCATTATCACTTTTCAAACCTGGCAATGCCTTTACGAGCTGGAACCGTGCTGTGGGGGGGGGGTCGGGTACGGCTCGCTTCCTGCATGCCAATGGAAAAGCGCCATATCGTTAATTTACTTTTATCAATAGGAAGTTTTAAAGTTGTGGATTTAACATGTTTAATTCATGAGCAGAGAACATCACCAGGTTTTCTTGTTCTTTATGATTTTACAAATTCAGGAATATATTGCTGGTCATGGCCTAGTTTTTATTTTAAATTGCATCACATAATACCTGATATTACCACATATGATTCTTTCTCAGTAAAGAATTGCAGTAATGTACTTGAACGACTGGTGATAGTCATCAATTTCAATTTTAGGTTTATTGATGCTGTCGCCGAAGTTCCCTGGCTTCAACCTCACCTCGAATATCTGGCAACCTGCAACTGGTGGATGCTTGTTAGATCTGCAGGCCGCATTGTGGCGGCCTGCCAGAATGCCTTGGCTCCTCCGTAGCATGATTTGAATTCCTGCTCCCGAATGCCAATGGTCAGACTGAATCTAGTCTGAATCGAGGGCCTATCTTTGTAGCTGTAGCCTGCCGTGGATCTAGGTGCTTTTTCAGTACTCTTAGCTGACATGTTAGCTTTTCAGTTGTCCCCTAGGGAGCTTCTGTGCTTCACTCACTGTGCAGGCCTTTTCTCTCCCGCATTTTTTCTGCAGTGGTTGAGGAAGTGGATTAAAAAGTGCGACGACGACAGCGAGACCTCCAACTGGATTGCAGCAAACACCAAGGTTCGTTGCCGCAGTGTTTTGAGGTTCCTGCCTTCCTGTGGCTGTGCGCCGCGGCCTCACTGGACCCCCTTCCTTTGTAGGAATGCCCCAAGTGCCATGTGACCATCGAGAAGGATGGGGGGTGCAACCACATGGTATGCCGAAACCAGAACTGCAAAGCAGAGTTCTGCTGGGTGTGTCTGGGTTCCTGGGAGCCTCATGGGTCAGCTTGGTGAGTGTCCGTTGACTCTCTGAACATCTTGTATTTAGATCTTACTTGTCAGTTGTGGCAGAAAAGTATGAGCAACTTATGAATGAAAATGAATACACCCTACTCCAATTATTTAGTTTTTTCTTATTTGCGGTCTGTACGTTTTATTAATTTAAAAGGCCTTTTGTCCTAATTTAAATCACACAGTAAACCATATGAATGCATCCATCCATTCTCTGTACCTGCTGGAGTGAAACCATTTTAATTTGAAAAAGTGTTTAAATGACAAAACTGAAATGTTTTCATTAATTAAGTATACACACCCCCTGTGTCAGCAGCAAATACAGCTGCCAGTCTTTTGGGGTAGATTTTTACAAGACTGGAATCCCTGGATTTTGGTATCTCCCCCCTACACCTCTTTGGAGATGCATTAGAACTGGCAGAACTAAGTTGGTTTTTGCTGATGCACTGCAACTTTCAGGTCATTCCAGAGGTTTTCAGTTGGATTTAGGCCAGGACTTTCTTGGACACTTTCAGAACATTCACCTTCTTCTTTGCAAGCCACTGTAGCTCTGGCCTTGTGCTTTGGGTCATTTCCCTGTTAATATATTTGTATCTGACCGTTTTTCACTCTTTCTGCAGACTGTCAGGTTCTTCTCCCAAATCTTCCTCTGCTTGGCTCCATTCATCCTCCCTTCGGTCCTGACACCTTCCCCTGTCTCTGCACATCCCCACAACATTATGCTGCCGTCACCATGCTTCACAGTCAGGATGCTGATGTTTCGATTATGGGCTGTCTTGAGTTTTCTCCAAACATATCATACATTTATGGTAAAGTTCTGGTTTTGTTTCATCTGAAACAAAGCCTTCTGAAATTTTGTTGCAAGATCCTTTAGGTATTTCTTGGCTAAAGCCAGTCGCGGCTCCAGGTGAACCCTTTTCAGATGGCTTTCTTCTTCCCAGATGCGTGCGATATCTTTGATGTTGTTGTGCAATGCACGTTTTGGCATGTGTTGGCATTTACACTCTGTAGGTCTTTAAGCGTTGTCACTGGATTCCAGGTGGCCTCTCGAACCAGTGATCTTCTGTCCCAGTCACTTAGCTTTGATGGATGCCTTGCTTTTGGCACAATGTGTGAGGTGCTATGCACTTTCCATTTCTTAATGATCGACTTAACAGGGTTTCTTAAAAGGGTATCTTTTCAGGGTATCTTAAAAGCCTTAGAAATCTTTTACATCCATCACACATGGAAGGTCTTTGGAATCCATGCTGTTTTCTTTGTGCGTGACTTGCCTTGCAGTCTGAAGGACCGTAGTAAACAGCTGCTTTTAAGTTTATTACAGTGATACAGGCGTTTGACTGTTAATATGTGATTTTTTAAGGCAATTTCCTATTTTTGTGATAGTGGTCCGAGGACGGAAAAATCACAAACCTGTAACGGTTTTGGCCGGGCAGGACTGCTCGATGCGGGATGTGAATGAAGGCTATCCTGTGTGGTGCAGACCAACAGAAGGGCCACTTTGGCACGAATGGCAGATAATTTGTTGCGTATGAGGCTGGGGGAAAGATTGTTTGTTAGGTTAAGAGCATTGTTAAAGTGGGAGTGTTTATTTTCCTGTTTACTGTGAATTAAACCCAAAATTGTGTTTGCGGGTGTGCTCTCCGTCGCAGTCTCTGTCTTCATTGTAGGCATGGAAATCCTCAAATCACTGTGAGGGCATGAAGCTACATGATAGACACCACTGATGCTTTTCAAAGGCAGATCCTTTAATTAATGTCCATAGACTGACGTTCTCTGTGTTGTAGACCGGTCATCCAGAAATTCTGAGGTCTCATCACCTTGGATCAGTCACATGCTCTCATATTATTTTCCCCATTTTTTTAGGTACAATTGTAATCGTTACAATGAAGATGATGCAAAGGCTGCGCGAGATGCACAAGAGGTACATTTTTAAATGGTACCATGGTGTCATGCAGCCCCTTGGGCCGCCTCAGTCGTGCATGTTTGCCAGTGTAGCTCCCAGTGACAGCATTGCTTCCCTAAGCCCCCATATGTCCTGCAGCGCTCCAGGGCCGCTCTGCAGAGGTACCTCTTCTACTGCAACCGCTACATGAACCACATGCAGAGCCTGCGCTTTGAACACAAGCTGTACGCTCAGGTCAAGCAAAAGATGGAGGGCATGCAGCAGCATAACATGTCGTGGATCGAGGTGCAGTTCCTGAAGAAGGCCGTGGACGTGCTGTGCCAGTGCCGCTCCACGCTCATGTTCACCTACGTCTTCGCGTTCTACCTCAAGAAGAACAACCAGTCCATCATCTTCGAGGTGAGTTGCAGCTCTTCCTGATGCTCGCTTCCTGGCACCCCTGTGTCAGTACTTCTCTGTGAACTATCGCCATCTACCGCACCAGACATTTTGTTCTTGAAAATTCCGTATCACTGTTTACTGCACCAGATACTCACCACCACAAAATTTTACATGCCCTCAACCATTGGCATAAAATTCAATGCACTGTATTGCTCTCGTCATGCTACTGTTACCATATGACATATCTTTAACATTTTGCATTCTACTTGTTTAAACTGATTTAAGAGGCCTCTCTGAATTTACTCTTTGTTGGTCATTGAAATTGCTGCTATTGGACTTGAAATCCTATCCTAGCCCATCTTCTACACAACTGATTTTTTTTAAATTGGAACAGAATTTCGCATCACCGTACTGTCTTGTGTAAGTGACATGACAATAAAATCCACTTGACCTGGACTAGTAGGCTTTTATGAATGAATGGGGAAAGGCCAAGTGGCAAGTTTATTTTTGGAGTTCAGTCCATCTCTCTCCTTTCCAAGTGCTAGTGTGTCGTGCGAGTACCTCCTGTTTTATTAACTGGACCAATGCGTTTGCTCAGTTATGTCGCTTGTTGATTTTTGTGGCGTCTTGAATGCAGCCACTGACTTCCACACTTGCTGTGCTGACACAGAACAACCAAGCAGACCTGGAGAATGCGACTGAGGTGCTGTCCGGCTACCTGGAGAGAGACATTTCACAGGATTCACTGCAGGACATCAAGCAAAAGGTGCAGGACAAATACAGGTCAGCACTGAGTGTGTTTATCGGGGCTGTGATGCTTCAGGGGCAGGATATCCTGCCCTCAGTGTCCTTCATATATCATGCGTGAGCTTCTTAGTTTTTTCATCCAAAAACAATATGATGAACCTGGTTCACACCAAGAACATTCCTGCAGAATTTAAAATGCACAGATTGGATTTCAGTGTCTGATGATTTTTCTCTGCAATTTGACTAAAGTCTACCCTGGCACTGCAAATGTTTTCAAGTCAAAACTGCAGATGAATTTGGAGTCTAGGGTTTACTGTTAAAAAGTCTTACAATGTTAGCTCCTTAATTTGAATTGGATGTTTAATATCCACCAGGTGTCTTCTAAAGCGAAATCTACGGTTGTGTTCAAAATAATAGCACTCTGTTTAAAAAAGTTGAAGTTCAAAATCCTTATAATAGCTTTTATTTCCATACATGCAAATGCATCTGGGAACACTGCACATTCTATTCCAAATCAAAACATGAAAAAAAAATTGATCAAATTTGTGTTATTCCTTTACAGAAAGTGAAGAAAAGGGAATTCTAGACTGTTCAAAAGAATAAGTGTCTGCATTCTTCTTTACAAACTCAAACATTCACTGTATAAACTGAAAAATGTTTTGACATTTTGCTTTCCTTTGAATCACTGAACTAATATTAAGTTGTATAACCACTGTTTATGAGAACTGCTGCACATCTGTGTTGCATTTAGTCGATTAACTTCTGGTACCTGTGAACAGGTATTCCAGCCCAGGATGATTGGACTACATTCTACAATTGTTCTGCATTTCTTGGTTTTACCTCAGAAACATATTTTTATTGTGAGCTGAAATCAAATTTTCTATTGACAAGAACCTCAATCTTGTTGGTCTGGAACCAAGATGTTGCTTGTTTACTGGTGTGTTTGGGGTCATCGTCTTGTTGAAGCACCCATTTCAAGGGCATTTCCTCTTCGGCATAAGGCAACATGACCTCTTCAAGTATTCTGAGGTATTCAAACTGATCCATGATCCCTGGTTTGCGATAAATAGGCCCGACACCGTAGTATGAGAAACATCCCCATAACATGATGCTTGCACCACCATGCTTCACTGTCTTCACAGTGTACTGTGGCTTGAATTCAGTGTTTGGGGGTCGTCTGACAAACTGCCTGCAGCCCCGAGACCCAAAAAGGACAATCCTGCTTTCATCAGTCCACAAAATGTTGTGCCAGTCAGTGTGTTCTTTGGCAAATGGTGTCCTCTTCAGCAGTGGGACTTTGCGGGGGCTTTTTGCAGTAGCTTGGCTTCACATAGGCATCATCTGATTGTAACCGTACTCACAGGTAACTTTAGACCTTCTTTGATCTACCTGGTGCTGATTATTGGCTGAGTCTTTGCCATTTTGGCTATTTGATCGATTCGAATGATTTTCCTTTTTCTTCCACATCTTTCAGTATTTGGTTGCTGTTTTAAAGCATTTGCGATCATTTTAGCTGAGCAGCCTATCATTTTCTGCACTTCTTTATATGTTTTCCCCTCTCCGATCAACTTTTTAGTCAAAGTACACTGTTCTTATGTACAATATCTGGAACGACTCATTTTACTCAAATTTTCAGTGAGAAGTGCACTATAACCAGCATGTCCCTTCCTTAAATAAGAGCTGTAATTGATAACTGTTTTTTCACAGAATGAATGACCTCACTAATTGAACTCCACACTATTATTTTGAACACGCCCCTTTCAATTAATGATTCAGTTACACCGAATCAGCAGCATGCTTATCATTACTGTTGGGTCTGTTGGCTTTCTTTTACTCTACTACACCTACTAGTATTTTATTTGCCATGTAGAAATATAAATTCTACCAAAACCAGTCATTGATCAGATTAGTGATTGGACTGCTGTTATTTTGAACACAACTGTATCTGCATAAGATGTTATCGTGTTATGTGTGACTTTCGAAGTGTGTTTCAGTCTCACAGCTGCCGCGTGTCTTTGGCCCTCAGATACTGCGAGAGCCGGCGTAGGGTGCTGCTCCAGCACGTCCACGAGGGGTACGAGAAGGACCTCTGGGAGTACATAGAGGACTGATCACGCTCCCCAAGTCGCAGGATCTCGTGAGCGACCAGCGTGCCGATGCCGTCTGTCGGGTGGGAACCGGCCCGCAGTGACGGAGGCAGGGCCACCAGCCAGACGCGGCTCCCAGAGCCCGTACGACGGGAACCTAAACTACGCTGAGATTAAGGCTAGAATATTCAAAATAAGAGTTGCAAGCACTATTGTTAACACCAGAGAGGACTTTATAGACATTATACAAAAAAATTTGGCCATTTAGGCTGGTATTTTAATATCTTCCTTTAAAACTCCCTTCCCATCCCCTCTACCCCCAAATGGGATTTAATCTGTTAGTTCCCAGGTTCACACCATTCAGACTAAGTGCGTTTTGTGTGAGGGAAGTGGACTTTTCCTGCAGAGCTTTAAGTGTCCCAGACACATCAGCTGTCCACGATGATGATTTTGTCTGGCCTGTTGAATGTTAACTGGTGTAGAGGCAATATCTCTCTTTTTTCTTGTTTAAAAGGGTGACATGGTGAAAAGTTAATCAAACCCATATTTTTCACTTTGTGTATAAACACAAATGCATGGGAGTCAAAAAGGTGAGCGTGCATTTTTAGATGAGAGGAAATGTGTTCTTTACTGAAAATGCTGTATGTTCACCATGTAGTTGAAATATTTGTCCCCAAGATGAGGCACCAGGAGCAGCTGACCTGCTGTCCTCATGGGCCAAGGGCTCTCCGGGCTGCCCGCTTGTCTGCCAGGCTGCCCGCTTGTCTGCCAGGCTCTGCCAGCGAGCAGTGGCTCCGCTCCTGGCAGCAGTCAGGATAAGCTGTCTCACAGCTTCTTGATTCGGTGCCCTGGCTGGCTGATGACAGTCAAATATTAAACTGTGATTTAAAAAGAATAAAACTTGTGCCCTTCCCTGATACTCTTTTAAAAAGTATGCGAGTTAAGAGATATACCAACTGTTTCAGGAGAGCCATACTGAGTGATATTCACTCCATATTTTCCCCTCAGAGAGTAGGTTTAACCCTTTATATCAGTGTTTCCCAACCCGGTCCTCAGGAACCCTCAGTCGGTCCATGTTTTTGCTCCCTTCCAGCTCCGGGTAAAATGTGGACTGTCTATGGGTCCTCAAGGACCGGATTGGGAAATACTGCTTTATATCTTTAAGGGTGTTTAAAAAAAATTTCAAGATGATGCAATTAAGCTGAACCTAAGTGACTTTGTGTGTTATGGGAAGAGGTATCAACAAATATTTTCATCATGGCGTGTTTTCTTGAACAGGATTTCTCAGAAATTAGGGGAGGTGTTTTTCATAATTCATAGAAACACACTAAAATTTAATTGATCATGTAGAAAATGTGCCAACTTGTGCTAAAGAGATCAAAATGTATATAAAAAAATAATTCGAATGACTTTTTATGCTGTAAAAAATGCTATTCCTTTCAGTTTGGGGTGATATGGAGCCCACCATTCGCTTAAATGGCGTTTCTCTTCAATTAGGAGCAGTGCTTGCGTTCATAATCCATAAAAAGAGCCTTAAATTTAATTGATCATGCAGAAAATGTCCTAGCTTGTCCTAAAGAGATCAACACACAGACACACACACACACATATATATATATAGATATGTGGCAGTGGTGGCTTGATGGTTAGGGAAGCGCACTTGTAATCGAAAGATTGCAGGTTCAAATCCCCCACCAGCCAGTCACCACTGAGGTACCCTGAGCAAGGTACCGTCCCCAAGCACTGCTCCCCGGGCGCTGAATTAGCTGCCCCCTGCTATGTCACGAAAGTCACATATGGGTTAAATGCAGAGGACACACTTCATTGTTGCGCACTGTGTGCTGTGCTGTGGTGTGTTAACAATGACCACTGATCACCAAATTCTAATATATATAAATATATATATATATATATATATATATATATATATATATATATATATAAATATTTTCAATTGACATTTGTATCCTTTAAAAAATGTCGTGCCTTTCACACTGTTGGTGGCCAAATTGACCCCCCAGGAGTTTCTCTGCAGTTAGGGGTGGTGTTTGTGTTCATAATCCATAAAAACATCCTAAAATTTAATCGATCATGTAGAAAATGTGCCAACTTGTCCTAAATGGATCCAAATTTATGCAAAACAAAGATTTTCAACTGGCATATATATATTTTTTGTGCTCTAAATTTTTTTCTATCTTTGGTACTGTTGTCAAGGTAATCCCAGGTTATTGTAACATACTCCAGTAAGATTACAAAAAGAACTGATTTATTTATTAACAATGACAGTATGAAATCAAAATATGCAGTTATATTATTATTATTGACATTATTATTGAGGAGAGAACTTGCAACCTTTCTCAGGACATGGTTGCCAGAATAATCGCACTTCCCATTTCTGCATCCCAGACACTGCTAGTAGTTTCCTCTTTAGATATGAACACCCTGACAAAGATCACGCATCCGAGGTAGGCACTGAATTTGTTGCTGAATTCATGCAAGTTGCTGACAAACCTTTGTCTCCTCTCCAAATCAGTCATTTCTATAATTATGTTTTTAAATGATCTTGGAATAAAGAGCTGAAATGACGATGTAATGTTGGGTGCTTGAGAAATACACAGCCGCCTTGCCCCTAAAGTGGATTTTGAATATGTGCTCTGCTAGCAACTTGCCTGGACCCCCTTGCATCACTGGTTTTGAGGGCCGACATATTTCTCCATTTTTAGACAAAAATGTCTTCCTCCTCTTCATCAAAATCTTTGCTTTCTTAGTCTTCTACCTTGCTGTCCTCTGTCTCCAAACCGTCCACCTATTCAATTAATGCGCACTCCATACTTTCACTGGCCAGCAGATCAGCCACTTCTTCAGCCGTGTACCTTTCCATCTCCCCCACCAAGAATCAACTGAGGCTGTAGACAGGTTTGGCACTTGTATTGGACTCTGTGACCACACCTCTTTGCTTTTTGATACATGCCATATTTTGAAAACATGTTTATTCTGTTTTATCTGGAATTACAGGCCTGTCTGAGAGCAGTCTCATCTTTGGCCATGGATCTAAAATTTGCCTTGGCTTCCATGGCAATAGATAAATGTATTACGCTAAAAACAGTAACAATCTAACACTAATCACAGTAAATGAATAGTAAAAACTGACCCCAAAGGCAATTAAAGGTACAACAGCATGCCGCATATGGTCTTTTTTATTTTAATAAAATTCTCTTTAGGACAGGTTAGCACATTAAATTCTAAGGAGTTTATGGATTTGGAACAAACACACTACTGGTGTAGTGCACTAAATACAGAGAAAATGTATTCAAGTGAATGTGAGGGAGAGAGGCAAGGGAACCTGTGAGATGATTACAAAATTTATTACAGCTTTACAAAAGTATGTTATTTGAAAATGTTTGTCCTAAAGAGATCCAAACTTAATAAAAAAAAAAAAAGCACAAGTCATCACATTTTAAGCATGAAATTTTTATAGAGTGAAAACAGCTATTTTCATTTGAAGTGTTTGTATGGAGAGTAAAGGGCTGAAAATGGAGGGTTGACCTCATCCTATTGTCAAAAAAGGTGTTACGTAATGTGACAGCTCTTGGTTTTGAAATAAGATGCCATTATAAAACTTTTCAAATTGGGGTCAATAGGACCCCAAATGTTTGGAAAAACTGCTAGTTAAGACATCTGCTTTGCTGTTGCTCCTCTAGACAGTGGACGGCTCACGCAGTCTTGATCTGGGTAACCATTTGAGTCGGGAGTGCAGCTGGTTTGTTGCAAATCCGTTTATTTTATATTTTAAATTTTGCTGAGAAAAGATAAGTGCAGTATTTTAAACTCCTTTTCAATGGGACAGTTTTTTTCTTCCCCTTTCACTCTTATGCCCCAGTCCTTGTCCTTTGGTGTCTGATAAATGTTATGAACACAAAAGCGCCACAGAGGAATCATGCCAGAGGAATCAGCCCAGGTTATGAATGGGCTCTGACGGCTCCCACACCCCTCGTCTGACCCCCAGTGCAGTGGGGTCCTTGCATACGCAGCCGACAGGTTGGCCTGCATTTCAGCTGCATTCTGGGAGCTACTGATCTGTTGGCTTTCTTGTGTTTATAAGTGTTTTTACAAACAGCTGTTCTTACCAAAAAAAATGTATTATTTAAATAAACTATCATGGAAAACAACTAGTCTCTGCATGTTGTGAGTCATTGGAATAGCAGATGGTATTCTCTGTGATATTAAAGAGATATCACAGTGAAAACTTGCAAAAGAATCTGAGGTGATACCTTGGAATGATCAACCCTCTGCCTTTACGTGGAACTTGCTCTTCATCCTTTGGAAGATGTGCATTTTTAAAAGGTGTGTTTTTGAACGTTAACTGGTGTAGAGGAAATCTCCGCGAACAACTCTGCTCCTATCTCTCAGCGGCACATTGGGTCGGCAACCTGCCTGAAGCTCGAATCTAGTAACTAAACTGCATTAGACAAAGAGCTATCAGCTAGACATTATTACGCAGTGCTGCTCAACCCATAAGGCGAAAAGCAGCTGCCTGGATCGCCATCTTCTGATGCTGTATGTGGTCTTCATGCATGGGGTCCAGCTTGCCTTGGGATCTACACGGGCTTCAGCTGGCATTTGTATTAACGGCCCCTTTCTCCAACGTGTAGGAATTGATGTTAATGAGTGTTGATTTTTTTATTGTGAGTTGTTTTTGTAGTGCTGCTTCCCTCAATGGGGTTAAATGGCATGCGTCGTTTTGGGTCCCAGCAGAATGTCAGGCTTTCACCATCTGAAGCCAGTGGGTTTTTATTTCTTTTTCCTTTTCATAGTGCTCCTCAAATTATATCACCCTCTATATAAGCACACTTTTTATTTAACTTTCGTTTACAGATCATACCAATTTAAAAAATTGATCTAAACATGGCAATTCGGTTTCCATTGCATGTGCTTTATTTGTGCCACTAGAGGGAGCATTTGAATTAAAAATGAGTGTTTGAAGGCAGTCAGCTTTTAAACCTAGAAGATCATTTGCTGAAGACCATTAATATAGTATTGTGTTTTAAGTCAAAACATGAACCATCTCTATTGATTATGGATGCATTAAATATGATCAGTTACAGTGGAGAAAGTATATAGCGAGCTAAATTTATACACACACAATGAATTAGAAACAAAGGTTTACAGGTATCCTTAGATGCTTCTCTGTTTCAAGTAGAATCCTGCATTTGTTACAATATTTGTAGTACTACTTTAAAAAAACTACACTGCTCAAAAAATTAGAGGAACACTTCTTTATCAGAGTATAGCATCAAGTCAATTGAGCTTCTGGAATATTGATCTAGTCAGTTAAGTAGCAGGGGGGTTGTTAATCAGTTTCAGCTGCTTTGGTCTTAATGAAATTAACAACAGGTGCACTAGAGGGGCAACAAAGAGACTCCCCCCAAAACAGGAATAGTTTAACAGGTCCCTTTTTCCCTCGTCATCTTTTCTGACTGTTTTTTCATTAGTTTTTGCATTTGGCTACGGTCAGTGTCACTACTGGTAGCATGAGGCGATACCTGGACCCTACAGAGGTTGCACAGGTAGTCCAACTCCTCCGCATCAGTACGTGTCATTGGCAGAAGGTTTGCTGTGTCTCCCAGCACAGACTCAAGGGCATGGAGGAGATTCCAGGAGACCGGCAGTTACTCTAGGAGAGCTGGACAGGGCCGTAGAAGGTCCTTAACTCATCAGCAGAACCGGTATCTGCTCCTTTGTGCAAGGAGGAAGAGGATGAGCACTGCCAGAGCCCTACAAAATGACCTCCAGCAGGCCACTGGTGTGAATGTCTCTGACCAAAGGATCAGAAACAGACTTCATGAGGGTGGCCTGAGGGCCCGACATCCTCTAGTGGGCCCTGTGCTCACAACATGGCACAGTGGAGCTCGACTGGCACTTGCTATGGAATACCAGGATTGGCAAGTCCGCCACGGGTGCTCTGTGCTTTTCACAGACGAGAGCCGGTTCACCCAGAGTACATGTGACAGACATGAATGGGTCTGGAGAAGCTGCAGAGAACGTTATGCTGCCTGTAACATTGTTCAGCATGACCGGTATGGTGGTGGGTCAGTGATGGTCTGGGGAGGCATATCCATGGATGGATGCACCTTGACTGCCATTAGGTATCGGGATGAAACCCTTGGACCCATTGTCAAACCCTATGCTGGTGCAGTGGGTCCTGGGTTCCTCCTGGTGCATGACAATACCCGGCCTGGTATGGCAAGACTATGCAGGTAGTTCCTGGAGGATGAAGGAACTGATACCACTCACTGGCCCCGACGTTCGCCTCACCTAAATCCAATAGAACACCTCTGGTACATTACGTTTCGGTCCATCTGACATTGCCAAGTTGCACCTCAGACTGTCCAGGAGCTCTGTGATGCCCTGGTCAAGATCTGGGAGGAGATCCCCCAGGACACCATCCGTCATCTCATTAGGAGCATGCCCAGATGTTGTCAAGCATGCCATACAAGCATGTGGGGACCATACAATCTACTGAGTACGATTTTGAGTTGCCGCAATGAAATTTTGGCAGAATGGACTAGCCTGCCGCATCATTTTTTTTATTTTCGGGGTATCTTTGAATTCAGCCCTCTGTAGGTTGATAATTTTCATTTCCATCAAATGATGTGGCATCCTTTCATTCCTAAGACATTACCCAGTCCATATCAGTTTAGATATCCAGCATGATTTTTTTCCCCCATTGAGATCTGATGCTTTTTTTTTTAAGCAATGTAATATTGCTCTAACAACAGTTGGCAGTTATAATGTTCTCCACCTTCAAAGTCAGTCTTTTATTGAAGTGTGAAGTCCACTTTGTGTAGTTGTGTTGGTATCATACTCGTTAGTCTGCAGGTCTGCCTTTAGTTTAGATGATAGAAAATCCTCTGTAAGTATCTGGTAAGAAGCCACATTTCAAAAAGCAGTTGACTATTTATTTTACCGGTATTCTCTATATATTCTCTTCCAAATCTGGATGTGAGACTAAAAGACAAGGCCTGTAAAAGTTCCTCTTCTTGGTTCAGTTCCTCTTTGAGATTAACAGGTTAACAGTCCACTGGGTGGCCAGAGAATCACTTCCCTGCCATGTTCATATTATTTGATGCTCACTCAATGAATTCTAAGGGGGGGAATTTCATGGGAGTTGGCTTTTTCCTAGGTTGGTAGAGATTTGTTGCAGGTTATCAAATTTCTGTTGTCTATACCTGTGTTTTGATTTTACACGATTTGAAAACATCTTTGTGGATTATATTGGGGTTCTTAAAGCACTTTTCTTCACACTTAACTCCCCTCAGTAAAGCAAACACTACTTCTGGTTTATAATGAAACTCTCATTATTCAGGGTATTGTTGACCCATCACAATGTGGACTGCAAGCAGATGACAAAAAAGGACTGTGCATCCAAGCACTGACGACTGGAATCTTATGAATGTGAGCCTAATGGCTTTGGATGAAGTAGCAGTTAGTGACGTATCTGACTGAAGGCATTTGGGGCAGCAATACACCCAGTAACTAACTCACTGGATTTCATAGTCCTTTCCCCCCATAAGCACCCAAATGGAACCTTTCTTTAGATATATTTCAGAGATTTAGTGTCTAGAATTGATGGCTGAGGGTGCGGGGTGCTGACTGAGCATATAATGAACTTCCCACCAATTTTCAGTACTTGCTCTGCTGTGATTGTTCTTTCCTAACAGTACAAATATCACTGAGTCAAAACACAAATGTCTGACAGTCACTGGGTAATAATCTGACTGCAGAATATCTCTCCGACCTTGTGTAAATGGTGCTTTATCTTGGAGATTCCTGTTTAATACCTCAGCATTACCACCTTGATTTTGCTTATTGAAGTGCAATTGTGGGTGGCAGAGTAGTTAAGGGCTGGCTAACACCCCCAGGGCTCTGTGTCTAAATCCTATCCCTGCTCTGTGTGTAAAGTTTGCATCTTCTCCCCATGTCACATAGGTCCACCGAGTCCTACAGACTTCTGTACTTTGCCACGAGTGTATGCTACAGTGTATGTGCCCTGTGATGGACTGGCATCCCATCCAGGATGTACCCCAGCCCTGTGCCCTGTGATGGACTGGCATCCCATCCAGGATGTACCGGCATCCCATCCAGGATGTACCCAGCCTCATGCCCTGTGATGGACTGGCATCCCATCCAGGATGTACCCAGCCTCATGCCCTGTGATGGACTGTCATCCCATCCAGGATGTACCCCAGCCTCAACGGGTTGGACCACTGTTCCTGTGATCAGAAGGTGGCAAGTTGAATCCCGTGTTTGGCAGAATTGCAATTTAGCCCTTGAGTAAGGCCCTTCACTCCCTGAAAAATTCTCCAAGGGTGCCAGATACAAGGCCTGACCCTGTGCTCAGACTACAAACTCCAAACCAATATTGAGTCTGTGTGTTTTGGAATTGAACAACTGTAAAAGAAACGTTAAAGAATAAGAAGGGTTAAAATCTGGAGAATGTGTCACGACTGTAGAATACAGTTTCTGGGTGCATTGTACAACTTATTGGCTGCCAAAACTGAAACATTTGTTTTCTGAGCTCATGATCATTCTTTTGTGAATAGAACCCTGTAGAATGTCTCTGTCTTGTGTCAGCATTAAAGAGATCCACCCAGTGATTCTGACCTGGGCGTACCTAATTTAGTCAAATATAAAAGCATGCAGAAAGGTAGGTGGCAGCACAATGACTCTGGCATTAGAGGTTCCAAGACTTTGCAAGTTCTCCCCATCCTTGTTCAGAATGCCCACAACGTGTGTGTCCTGTCATTAGACTTCCATCCCTCCCGCCACCCAATGGGTCCTGGGATAGGCTACATGCTCACCAGAATCCTGTACTGGATAAATGATACAAGATGGATGAAAATGTGCAGAAAAGTTCAGCACTTGTAAAAGAGTGAGGTCTTGCTGAATGAATTAAACTCAGATCACTGAACTACATTAGAGCGTGCATAAGGTAGTTGAGGGCGCTCCACAAAGAACTCATCCACAATTCACTTTGCATCTTTCTCCATTTATTAAACTCGTGAAGCAAATGTAAAATTTCTCAAAGTACTTAAAAAAAGGGCAGCTATAATGAGGTATTGAATGTTAGGATCCATTACTTTTACAGATCAAAATGTTTCCATTTTGTTTTATACTGTCATGCACAAACAATTTGAACCAAAGCAGAAAAAGACAACCAGCACCAGTACACAAACGACTGTTTCACAGAACTTCAAACAAAACATACACACGCCCCCAAAAATATAAATGGAACTCCTTAGTCCTCCACCTTAAGCCAGCCTTTCTTGTAGTCCATGAGCAGCTCCAGGTAGTACTGCCATTCTGGCTCACTATCATATTTCACTTCAAAGACTGTCTTTAGCGGGTTAGGGTGGGGCTCATGAATCCTCACCACCTGCCCCTTGTACCATACCTCCGATTTGTCCTTCTCCTCATACAAGTGGCAGATTCTCTTGCCCACCAGCTCAGGGTAGTGGTTCTTTATGGCTCGCCGTGCGGTTCGCACAGCTGAGCGCAGCACCCACCTCCTGTGCTGCTTGTTGTGCCCACTGGATAGGTAGGAACAGTACTTTACCTGCACTAGGGGCCGGCTCATGCACAGGGACTTTTTGGATCTGTGGTGCTGCATGGCCTTGGAGGAGCTGTATGTGTACCCTGTGGCTCCTGGGGGGAGTCCCCTCTCATCTTGGGCCTCCCCGGCTCTAATCCTTTGAGAGCGTTCTTGGTGTCGTCCTTGTTCACCTATTATCTTCCTCGCGTTGATTCCAGACTGTCCACAATGTCCCGTGTCACAAATGGGCTGGAACCCAGAATCATACTTACCAGAACCTGTATCAAATAGAACCTTCCTCAACTTCAGAATCATTCCAGAACGGACCCTTGAACTTGTTGATGGCTTAGTGGAATCAGAGGACTGGCTGCGCTCTGATATAGTGGAGGTTCTATCATTCTCCATGTCACTGTCTCCTGAAGAAACCTCATCGGACATCACGGGGCCCCATGCCTTGTCGGGCTTCCCCTCCACAGCCTGCTCCAGATCAGAGGATTCCTCCTCCACCTTGATCTGTATGTTCTCCATGCCTTCTTCACAGGTGCTCTGCGTGCTGTCCCCATTCTCACAGAAGGAGCTCACAATACTCCAGTTCTCAAATTTTCCAGAAGGTTCAGCATTATTCTTCTGTTGTATATTCTCCCCAGAGAACAGCCTTTTTGAGTCACTCATTCTCCTTCCATTTCTTTTCCGTTTTTTAAGAGAAGCTGAGTTGTTCAACTTCTCAGAAGAACTTGGTGTCCCGCAGCCTGTCCTGACATGGGACCGACAGGACATATCAGTATCTTTTCCCCGAGATGGCTCTTTTTTCATAGAGTCTCCGAGTTCTGTCCCTGAAAAACAAAAAAAAAAAATCATGTTACAAAATATTTAGCACCCTCAACATGTTGCGAATTACACACAAAAGTCGAGTTCAAGAAAAAGCAAAAGCAATCCGTGTTCACATAAAAGAATTTTTCCCAGGTAATGAACCAATTCAATAGAAGAAACATAGATTACTGCTTCATAAGACACAGTGGAAGCAAATTCCAGTCCTACAAATCAGATGCTTTTCAGGGAACAATCATGACAGGTTAATTCCTTGTACTAACACTGAATATTAAATGCAATTCAAAACTGCAGAACAAGTGCTGACGGCGGTGTAGCCTGGGCCCAAGTCGTGGCCACTTCAGCTTGACCGACAGGTTGCAGTGCTGTGAAACCACAAACATGCGCTTCTCCGGGTGATGTGAACTATGTCTAGTGCCACAGAAGCTGAATGCAAACAGGCAGTGTGCAGACTAATAAAAGAGAGGCTTAAAATTACTGGCTTTCAACTGACCAGGACACTGAGATTTAAGTGTTAGACAATTAGTAGTACGTAGTAAGAGAAGAGCTGAACAGAACTACACGTGGTTTACAGTTCAAAAACTGGAAAAACACTCAGAAGCAAACCCTCATTAATCACATCACATGTACAACTATATGCACTCAGTGACAAAAAAAAGTTAAGCACCCAGAAGTAATGGTCCGATTTAGATGTAATTTGGTACACGTGCAAACCAGCAATGGGTATGTAAATGATTCTATATGCAAGGAGCTGGCACGTCTAGTCACCAGACACAGAGGATGCCCCGTAGGTGCATTAGACAGCATTATCAGCTCTTGAGTTTGGTAGGGGTCGCATTGTGGGTTTGCATGAGGCCGGGCGGTCGTATAGTGCAATTGTCCAGCATGTGGAGCATGCAGATGTCAGTCACCCGATGTTGGAACCAATGAGCATGTGAGGGCACCCACAAACATTGTGAAGGTTCCGGTTGCCCAAGACAGATCACACCAAGGGAGGATCATCATATTATGTGCCAAGCATGAGAGAAACCCAAGACATCAGTGCCTGCCATCCAAACACAGGTCTCTCTACAACACCCCGCGTAATCCCACACGTGTCTCCATGACTGGCATCAGCTGGACTACAGGTTCACCGTCCCATGCATAGGCTGCTGTTAGCACCAGTGCAGAGACGGCTGCATTTGGAGTGGTGCTGTAACCGGGAGGCATGGACTGATGACACATGGCGTCGTACCATGTTCAGCGATGAGTCTCGGTTCTGCATTACCACGGATGATTTGTTGGCAGCACCCTGGTACAGTCTTTCAACAAGACAGCGCCCGTCCACACATGACATGTGTCTATGGACTGCCTGTGTCATGTTGAGGTCCTCCAATGGCCAGCCAGGTCCCCCGATCTTTCCCCAATCAAACATGTGTGGAATCAGCTCGGACGTCAACTCAGACCCAGTGCCAATCTGCAGGATCTCGAAGGCCAGTTACAACAGCTGTGGGTCGACTTTCCGCAGGAGAGGATACAACGGCTGTACGACTCCCTTCCGCACCGTATCGCCACATGTATCCAGGCCTGGGAAGGTGTCGCACCCTACTGACATGGGATCAGCAGTGTGCCCATACTGCCAACTCTGTTGTCTATTTGATCTGATACCACAATCATTGCAATACAATCATGACCTTTCACCACGTGCAGATTAATTTAATTTCGACCACTCTGTTTGGGTGCTTCACTTTTTTCTCACTGAGTATATGTAAATGTGTCAGTTCTGAGCTCAGCTCTGTGTCTGTGCAATTCCCATTCGCCCTACGTCTGCCCCCACAGTCCCAAAAACCAACACGCTGGGCGGACTGGGCTCATGGCCTGTGAAGAACAGACCTGCCATCCAGGGAGTCTCCTCCCTTAGAGCCTCTAGGACTACAGCTGCACATCCAGCTCTGGGCTGTGCTTTTCACCTCCCCGCCTAGCATTTGGCTTTAAGGTAACAGTGATCCGAACAGGATAAAAGGTAACAATACACACCATTTCTATTATAATGCAGTGTATTTATTAATCCAAAACAAACGTGTGTGCAAATCAATGTATTCATAAGATTTTCAGATGGGTATAGCAAGATGCTGGTACAGATTACAAAGGACAGCTACAGTGTAGACTTCAAGCAAGCACGTCTACTTCCAATGCCAGTGTAAATTACCACAGAAGTGCATTTTACCACAGGGAGATTCCATATTCAGTAACGTGATGCCACATGCCAGGAAAATGTAAAATACTGCTGTAACATCATCATCTATACCCACAAAACCGCATAGGACACCACAGACAATACAAAATAATGAATTAAGCAAATAACCATAACAATGTTAAAGAGTACAGAATAGGGAGAGAACCAAATGAGAACATTTTTGAGAACTTAGCTGTTTGAGGTCTAAATGCCTAACTGAAAATGGGAGTACAGCAGCTGTATTCCAAGGCAGGGACACTTCTGTGGACCCATGAACAGGAAACAGGATGGCAACGATGGAAAATGGGATCTAAAACTTGGGTGAATCACCAAGGAATGGTTTGATTTTTCCATCCGTGAACAGTGATGGCAGGTCCTTAGGTAGATAACAGGGTTCCCACCATTGCAGAATGAACTCGTTCATCATTAATGCTGTCTCCATCTCGTCGTCTTCTCAAATAATATTCCGCTGGCACTACATTTTGCTTCCTGGATTACTCATGTTAGTGTCTTTAAACTGTCTAAAAGAATGACAGAAATGAAAATTTCACAATATGAACACTTCAGCTCCTCCTACGTGTTTTTCGTACTGAAGCCAAGCGTTTTATTTGGGGGGGGAAAAAAAAAAAAACTGCCCATCCAATGTTAATCGTAGTGCTGACCACTCGCTAGGTAGTGGGCTGGTTTTTTTTTTAGCTTGCTATGGAAAGCGAGAGAACAGGAAGTAGATACCTGAGCTGTCTGTGGGGCACCAGCAGGTGTAGTAGAATCTGTAAGAAATAAATGGGATTTAAAGTAAAATTAAATTACATAATGGCTGTTTGACTAAGGGATTAGGAACAGCAACAGACTACATACAAGCAGCCTCTGTCCAAAGGTTTGACATACTTATCTGAAAGTTTACAAGCTTCATGCTTTTGGGGGATGATATGTATTCATCCCAAAAAAAGAACACAGCCGCTTGGAATACTCATGTCAGCTGTTGCTTGTAACAGTAAGGTGTTTATTTACATTACACCAATGTTAAACTGTCCCCTTATGCTGAAATGAATGAATGAACGTGTGCAGAGACATGATTTTGTTACGTGCTCATAAGCACAAGGCAGACATTCATAAATGCTTAAAACTACACTGAATTTGTCAAAGCCTGTGCAAGAAATGACTGAAAATGCAGATAAAATCTGGCAAGGCTGTTTAGATCCCAGATCAACATTTTTGAATGGTTGAAGGTTTCACACATTAATTATACAGACTGTATGCTTGTCCAGAGACAACAGATATATAAGGCACAAAAAAGCTGAAAGGCAATGATGCATGTTAAAAATAAAAGCATCAGGAAAAAAGCCATCCGAAATCTGCATATTACATAATAATAATAATAATTAGGAGCTTAGCTGAAAGAAAATCCAGAATTTCTCTATACATAAATTGTTGAAATTCTGAAACCTACACCTTGCTTGGAGAATTACAAATCTGAAATAATACATAAAAGAATATGTGGGATTGAAACTGCTGAATAATTTATGCACATGAAACATTGGGTGACTTTACATGTAAGCATTTTGAATGGTAAATGATCTGGCTTACTGCTTGGTGTCTTCTAGCAGTAAAATCTGATAATAGTGATCTTACCTCCCTGTTTTACATTAAGTCACACCATCACATTAACTGGAAAACTAAATTCTTTTAGGCAAGATGGATACAAGCAGTTGACTAAATGGGAATGTGGGGGTCCAAAGACTGTACATCCTGTACACAAAATGTGGTTTCCACGCAAACTGAATGAATCACGTAAATCTAATGAATGCTTATGTAAGAGAGGAAAAAGTGGGGCGATACTTCCAAAAACTACCGATACAGTGGTTGGGACCAACAAGTCAACACAGAAGGGCAACAGCAAATCATCACCAGAGTTCTGGTGTCATCAGAAGAGACCGAGATATCGAAAAGATCAGGGGCCTGGGGCTTGACTTTTTTTTTGAAGGAAGATTAGCATTGGGGCTAAAATACTCAGGGCTAGGTTTAAAATACCTGAAGCTACAGCCCCGAGCGATCAGATCTAACGATGCCCATGGTAAGGACATTTCAGACCTAGATTCTCCAGAAGAGCTGTGGTGCATAAACCACTAAAACCACATTAAAAAGCCCTTGCAAAAAGCAGTGAGCAAGAGCAATGTGGTCTGAACAGCTTCAAGATTTTATGGACATGTCCAAAATACAAAAGGTCCAATGTCCAATGCTGCCCTGCACATACTTTCCGCATAATCCCAGCTCCAAGACATCTGTTCCATTTAGTCTAGAAATTGGAGTCTGACTGGAGTCTGTTGTACATCAATACATACATATACTGCTGGCAAACACAATCATACTCCGTTCTACAGGCTAAGGAACATGAAGATAAAGTTACAGGTTCAGGTTTCCTCTTCAATCAGCATGAACACAATTTGTTCTACGCAATTTCTGCAATTTATTCCTGTAGCCACATATACTAATTACAAATGAAAATTACAGATAACAATGTAACAAAAAATTCAACAATAATGTGTGATTTCCACTGTAATATTCTTAAATTCTTTTTTAGAATTTTTTGGGACTTTTGAAGCATTTTCAGATTGCTACATGAAGATTCCATTCTATAAAACTTTCATATATTAACAATTACAATGTACATGAAAACAGGCATGTGAAAGTCCCAATCAAACCAATCCCAAAAACCATTTTTTTCTTACATATATTTCAGGCAGGTCACAGGGCATCACAAAAAGGGTTCCTTTATGCCAAATAAGGTGGTGTGAAATTCAGAAAGGCAGTAGGCCAGAAACACACTAACTTCTGCTTTCGGTCCATTTTAAAACCACGTTGACTTCTGTTTCAATAAAACCACAAAGAGATACAACCAAGGAAATGCTTTCCAGAATACATATAGGGAGAAAATATTTAACATCACAAATATTTTTTCTATACAAGTTAAATGGCAGGAATAATTCTTACCATCACCTCTATAAGATTCGTCTATGTTTGTAGAAAATTTACTTTGTATAATCTGTAAATAAAACACTACCTTTGGCTTGGATCTATTTGGGTTATGGCTGTAAGATGACCTAAACATTGGTTTATAGCACAAGGGAAAAACTGATGCAAGATGTGGGACGATGACTGCCACACACAGCCTACAAAGGAAGTAATAAAGATATGATTATAACTGTGATGGCTTACCCAAGCGTTTGCTGACACACACATGGTAGAAAAGGTTCAGCACGTCTGGGTAAACTTCAGGCAAGTGTTTGAGGGACAGAAGCCTTCGGAGCTTGGAGGAGCAGGCCCGCTTCTGGAGCTGGGCTAGGTGGCGCTCCTCCGAGAGTGTGGTGGGTCGCAGCTCAACCCGGCGCTCCTGCAGTACCTGGTCAATGAAGGCACCAGGCACCTGGGGGAAGAGGCTCTCCTTCACAATGAGCATGGGGATGAATAGCATCCCAGCTCGGACAACATGAGGAAAAGGACACCGGCAGTTCGAAACAAAGCTCTCCATGTGACGGATGACCTGGTGGAACACTGCAGCAGTGTCATTACACTTAAGCCATAAATCCATGACTTCTACTCCCAGGAGACAGGAGACCCTCTGGGTCTTTGTGTGAGATGGAGCAGACAACCCTCGATCTTTATTGTCAAACCAGGCTCTGAGGTCCAGTTCTGGGGTATGGGAGACAGACCTGGAGATGAGCCTGCAGAGTGACTGATGCAGTTCCATAAAATGGTGGCGAGGGCGTCTGGAGCTGTCCAAATGGGAATTGGGCTTCGGTAGTGGCTTTGTGCCCTCAAGGCCCTTGGAGTCTGAGGGTAAGTCTGTGGTATTACTGCAAGGAGCCCTAAGTGTGTCTGGCACAACAATCTTGAAAGCAGATAGTTTAAGATATTCAGGTGGAATGTGCTGAAAGCGAAACTTTTTGTCTGAGGGGCTGAAGGGTGGCGTTGAAGGTTTTGGGGGCGTCTGCATAAGTGCAGGGTTTTTGTCCACCTCACAAGCACCTGCTGTTCCATGACCCTCTGAGGAGGGTCCCATATCCTCTGAACCACCGGTTAACGTTTGGAGCTTGCAAGAGGATTCATGGGAGTCACTCTTCTTCACACTTAGATCAAGCACATCATCATCTGGGGAGCTTGAGCTAGTCCGTACATCAGGTTCTTCTTTACAGATCTCCTGGAGCCCGCAATGCACTCCCTGATAACTAGTCTGATCGGTTTTAAACGAGTCATTTGTAACTTCCTCTTCATTTGGCTCAACTTTTATTTTTTTGGATTCCCTTATATTGACTGCCTCCTCTTGAGAAGACCATGAGTTACCAAAGGAAATTAATACATCTTTAGGCATTGAAGCTTGCTGTGCATCTCTCTCATTGATCTGTATATCAGGTTGTATTCTGCTTGTACCCAATTCTGGATCACCACGGTCAGGCACATTTGGTGCAGACAGCATTCCTGTTGCTTCCAGGTAAGCTTTATAAGGGGCCAAACTAAACACATTGTTAATAACCGGCATTGGAGGTGATGAAGGTCCATCTACGAGTTTCTGGTCATCTTCATCTGGTTTCCTAGGACTCTGCACATCAAACAAACCATTGTCCTCTTTCTGATTTAGGGTATGCGATTCAGAAGAGACAGCACGGCTTGTTTCAGATGACTGTTCATTGGTATAAACTCTGACACATGAAGGGTGAGGGCCTGAGTCACCATTAATCAAATCGGTTACAGCTCTCTCACCCCGATGCTGGCTAACAATGCTGTGAGGAGCCGTCACTTGTGCCCTACTCAGTCCACCATCCAGTACAACTATAGACTCCTGGCTGTCACTTCCATGATCAAACCGAGGCAGTACAGGATGGAACGCACTGGAGCCAAACCCTTGTCCACAAAGTGCCCTTGAGGGAGACTGTAGTTGTGCTTTTAGTAAAGAATAGTCCTCTAGCTGTTCAGCGAATGACACAGTAGAGCCTGGCCCATCAGAAAATGCTCTCTTCTGTCCTGGGCTTGTATGAGTTTTGTAAAGTTGATACGGTGGAACTTCACAATGTTGAACAAATGAATGACTTTGCTGAGTGATAGGACAAGGAGCTGGAATATTACTAAAAACTGAATGAGGTACACGATATGGCCCTGAAGGATTCTGGATGTGCTGCTTGCTTATGGAGCCCAAAGGGTCCTGCCGATTACTCCCACCCCTGTCAGAATATTGAGCACTGTTGGCAACTTTTGTTCCTCCCTGGGGATAATAAAAAGCAGGATGTGGGGGACATTGTGGATGGCTTGGAGCAGGAGGAGTGTGGTCTGGGTACAATTTGGAGGAGACACCAGAGTGTGGAAGGGCTGAGAGTTGCATCTCTTCATAGGTGCATGGAATAGACGATGGCAGGCTGTGGTACATTTTGGAAGGTAATCGATGATATGGCTGTCCGGGGGGGGCTAGCATAGAGTGGGCCGAGTCTGCATATGGAAAACGACTGTAGTTTTGTTCTGCAAAAGCTGGCATCCTAGTTGGGCCTGTGGGTCTCATGGGAAGGTAGCCATCTAACTGGGCTTCCTTTAATGATTGCCTCCGACTGTGTTCCAGCTCCAGGACCTTTCGCTGCATCAGTGCTTCCTGATCTTTCCTTTGCAGGATTGACAGAGGACTACACTGTAGCATCCACTCCTCGTCACAGAAAGGGGGATGGATCCTTGCATCTCCACGCTCCGTGCTGTAGGATGGTCCTGAAGAACATCCAAGTTCTGCACAGCAGACATTGCGACCATAAACAGGCTTAGGGATAGCTAGGCCAACGGAGGTTTCAGTTTGAGGAGAAACATTTGTACCTTCCACATTTGTCTTTTTCACAGCAACAGGCGTGTGGACCCTGGGTACACCTGGACTGAGCTTCTCAGGGCTTCTGTCATAAAATGGCATCTTTTGTTGTGCTGCAAGCTCTTTTTGTTCCATAGGAGGGCTTTTCTCCACAGGGAAGGCCATATGCTCGGTCCTATGAAGGATGTGATTGGGTAATGCCCTGTTTGCACTTGAAGGGAAAAATATAGGATTTCTGCCACTTTGCATACAAGTCCTTGAAGGATTCCAATGGGCTGAAAGGTCCCTCCTCTCTTGCCCACCGAGGCACATGGAATAGTAAGCCCCACTGTAGTTTGTAGGTTCCTCATGAGCATATCTGGGCAGACTTTGTGATGAGGGAAACCCAGGAAGAACTGGGTCCCCTACAGATTTCTGTAGCCTTGGCATCTTTCCATGGGCCACAAGGTCCCTGCAGTTGGAGGCTGGTTTGCTGCTCATCATGATTCTTTAAAATGTCCGCCACTGCTTACTGTGGTATCCTAGTCCCTCTTCTGGCAAATTCTGTAGTATTCTAGTAACTGTGGTGACAAACCAACAGTGGGGGGCAAGGAAGGGGAGACAGATGTTAAAAGAGAAGCATATCTACATTACCTACATAAGAACTATACAAACGAGAGGAGGTCATTTGGCCCATCGAGCTCGCTTGGGGAGAACTTAACTAATAGATCAGAGTTGTTAAAATCTTATCTAGCTCTAATTTAAAGTTTGCACTACGTTATCAGGAAGACTATTCCATACTCTGACTACACGCTGTGTAAAGAAGTGCTTCCTTAAATCCAGTTTGAAATGTTCTCCCACTAATTTCCACCTATGGCCACGAGTTCTTGTATTTGAACTAATGCTGAAGTAACTATTTGGTTGAACAGCATCCAAACCTGTTAGAATCTTATATATAAATATTACCCAAGCCTACTTCTAAACAGGTCATTTTAAAATGCGCACGATACAACACACAACAGAAAATGAGAAGTGGTGCAGGACACTGATATTGTTAATACTGACCAGAAGGCAGTCGGTTTTGGCAAGAAGACATTCGTATTGGATACTCGGTTCACTCCTAGGTGTTTTACAATTCTCAAGGCAACAGTTTCCAGCCCCTCCTAGTGGTCAAGCAGCATGATGTGCTAGTATTTATTTCAAAGTGCTTTTAACTTCATTCAGCTATAAAACACACTTTTAATATATGGGCACAGAGTGGGCTGGAAAAAAAAGTGAAGCGGCTGTCAGTTGCCCATCCCTGTCCCAGACTGTTCAGTTTCCAACCTACCTCCTCTATTCCAAAAGTTTTTAAGCTGTGTAACATGCTGTAATATACTAGTCATTTAGCAAAAACAATAGGATGTTTGAGTGAAAACACAGATAACCCACTTTGCTCCTTTACAGAGAACATACAATCAAAATGAATAGTTTAAAAACAGATTTGATTTGCAAAAAGCTAATTTCCAAATTACAGTACTCTCAAATAGCTTGAAACATTCTGCTAAAGATGTAGATCTCTTCAGATTGACCTCTAATCTATAATGAATTGTGATTCACTCATTCTAGAGCTAAACTTATGGAATTATTTCTTTATTCTTTCCATCCATTCATCTATCCATTTATTTTCCTGTACAGGTTCAAGCAGGACTTGGAGCCTATTGCAGGCACACACACATATACACAGCATGGGCAATATTAGACAGACCAATTCACCTATTTGCATGCAGGTGGAAACACATTATGGGGAGAACATGCAAAACACACACACACACACACACACAGAGAGAGAGAGAGAGAGAGAGAGAGAGAGCAGAGGTGGGATATGAGCCCCCAGCACCTTTATTTTCCATACATATTTTGTTAACTAACTTATTTTGTAAAACTAGAAAGTCATCAGTATATTAATTCTGCTTCGGCTTTAACGTACATATTTGTACCAGAAATACACTTTCAACACCAGTAAAATAAACATGTTAATTTATCATCCTGATGGGGTGTTCTTCACACCAAGTGCCCCTGGTGTTACTTCCTTTGCACAAGGGGACCCCTAACCACATACCCCACTCTAAAATAAGTCTCTAGTGTCCGTTGGATGAAGGAAGGTGGGGTAGTGGGGCCTCATATCACTTAACAGGTTTCATACGCCTGTATGTCAGCCAGAAGACCGTAGAGCACATGGCATTATTTTTCAACCACAAAACCCAAAGCACGACACCGAGGCCAACTACATACTCTGTCAGGTATATACTTAGGCCAAAGCTGGTCACACTAGCTTTAAGTACACACACGCACACACAAATGCAGTAATATTTAACTGCAGGTGGTACAAAGCTATTGAAAATATCTCCAATTTCATTTCAATAAACTGTGGCATGAAATAGTTCTGATTTGTCTCATTTATTTTCCACAAAGAATCTAATCAATCACTTTTCATATTATTTCACATATCTTGGCAATAATTATCGATGAAAACATACATAAAATAAAATTGCAGGTAGTTAAATGTACAAATTATTCATGTGAAACTCATTGCTTCAAGCAGAAGGTTGGACTTCCATGAGAGAGGAACTATTTAAACAAAGCAGCAAACAGACAGACAGATTAATCCAGGCCCATTAACAGTTTCACACAATGCCAACCGCTGACCGCGGCCCCTCACACCCACTCCTTTTTGCCTCCTAGTCACTTATCAGCATCCCCCTGCTGCATGTAGGTATAAACAGCATTTTCAGCTGGAGAAATTAAGCCACTTCCTGGAGGTTCTCTCTCAGTGGGCAGAAGAAACCTAGACTTGACGATTGTTCTCTTCCCAAACTCACATACAAAGGCTAACCTAAGGTCATTCCACAAGCAGACAACCTCAGAGCCGAGGAAGGTTTTCTCAGTATTACAACAGCCTTAACTGACATATGGAGGCAATTTAAATCATGGGCTACTACAGAGATTCACAAGGGATCTGAATATAGGCAACAAACTGTTTGCAAGTTTATGTCACTTACTTTTTCCACTACCACTGTGAATGCTGAATATGTCTGTATAATAAAGACATGAAAGAGTAGAACTTTCTGTGTATTACTGGCTTAAGCTCATTGTGTATATCAGTACCTGTGACTTAGATGAAGACCAGATCACTTTTTATGACCAATTCTTGCAGAAAACCACAAAATTCCAAGGGGTTCACACACTTTTTACTTTGACTATAATCTATAAAAGGAATAATAATTAAAATAGCTAAGCTAGCCAGATGGGCTATGACAGAATAAAAATGCTTCAGCGAAAGACTCCCTGCACCATAAGTCTGTACAGAACTGAAAATTAAAAAAGCCTGATCTTAATCCAGCTGACTAGCAATGTAAGAATTGCATGTGCATAACATGCGATCTTGGTATTAATATCACACATCCCTGACCCTTATAATATACTAATTTTTGTTTTAATTCAGTATAAAATGCCCCACCTCGCGTTGTGATGTTTAGTGCTGGTACCACTTTTTATACCAGCGGAAAACCAACACCTTGAAGTGCCGTACTTTTCGTACTTTCTCAAAGTATGAAAAGTACAGTACCTGGTGCAGTGGAAAAGTGACCCAAAACACTGCAACACTAGGTCTAGCAAAGAAAGCTAATGTGGTCCGGTACCACTGTGAACCTGGTCTCTTTGTGGAGAATTTTGCACGACTACAGCAAAACAGCTACTGTTGTGTATTCTTTCGTCCAAACCAATCAGGAGTCAGGACCCACTTGTGTAGATCTTCAGATTCAGTTTTTAATTTGCAACCACAAAGTTACAGTTAAGGCTGGACATCCTGCATGAGTGTCCAATGCCAGTTTATACACATCTTTTATATATATTCTTCTCTTTTTCTCTTAGCAGACAAATCTTTGTCAGGCAAGTCCTACAGCACCTTATCTTCGCTTCCCAGTCTCCCCGATTATTTTCTTCCCCAATTAAGCCCAGGTGATTCATGCCTCCGTGAGATAAGACTTGTGGTGCAACTGTCCTTGGAAAGTTTGTTTTATACGACAAAAGGCCTCGATGTCTCCTCGTGATTCCAAACAGGAGCACAGGTGGCTTCCTTCCATGGTTATACGTTATACTGTATATACTGTATATACTGTTATTAATGGCACACAAGGTTGTAATCATCAGATGTCATAAGATATAGTGGGGGCCAATACAATGCTCAGATACATCATATCTATATAAGCATGCAACGCAGTAGCATATGGCATGAACTCTTAAAAGGTTATATTCCTCTACAGGCTATACATTAAATCAATGTTTTCTAAGGTTACATTTTCTCTACGTATTACATGGCTAGTACTTATTGGGAAGTATGGATTATAAAGCTAACAAACTTTGTACTTCTCTCAGTGTAGATTTGTTCATCACAAATGAGCTAAATACATGAACTCTGCTACATAAGAACAAAAACTACATCATTACATATATATTTAACAGTACAAAAACCAACTATTGCTGTAACTATACATGTATTGTGTGCCTCAGTTACATTACTTTTTCGGTTTACTACACAATGAAACACGTGACTACACTAACACAGGCAGAACTGAAATTCACATGTAGATAGATATTCAGCAGAAAAAAACATTATGCTAATTGTTGCCATGAGCTAGTCATACCTAAAGCTGGATACAGTCAGTCATAATCAGCAGCTTGGGAACATTTTGGTTTCCCAATGAATTGCAGCAACACTGAAGAGAGAATGTGGAAAGAAAAACTGTTTCTGCTTTAAGTTGTTAGATGTAACAATGCTTGTGCTACAACTATATAATTACATGCTTGGTGGGAAAAGGAGTGTGGGTGACAGGTTCACCATGATGTCAACTGAAGGTCCTTGAGACTAGTAGATCTAGATGCCCAAACCTAGGACACTATGAAATGGGTTAAAAGGGAGCATCATCTGTACTTTGTTAAAGTTAGTTTCTTTCTTTGATGGACAGAGAACAAACATAGAAAGGACAAAGGGATGACTAGAAATTAACATATAAAGCATGCACGTATTTGGCCCACAGAGACGGAATTGACTACGAGAAAGAAAATGGATTTAGAAGAGCTTGCTATAAGACTAGAGAGATATCACTTATGCATGTATTCTTAGTACCAAGTCAATAGCCTATGTAGAGTGGATATAAAAAGTATATACACCCCTGCTAAATGCCAGGTTTTTGTGATGTAAAAATGACCATAATAAATCATTTCAAAACTTTTCCCACCTTTAATGTGACGTATAACCTGTACAATTCAATTGAAAAACAATATACATAAAGCTGGTTGCATAAGTGTGCACACCCTAAAATTACAATGTGTAAAAGGGATCTCATTGCTGAAAGGTATCAGTCAGGAGACGGTACAAAAAACAACTTCCACAGCATTAGGTATACCATGGAACACAGTGGAGACAGTCAAGAAGTGGAGATATGGGACAACAGTGACGTTACCAAGAACTGGACGTCTTTTCATCAAATTTGGTGGGACAAGTTGTCAGAGTGGCTGCAAAGAGGCCTACAGTAACACT